GGGAGGGAGGGAGGAGGAAGAGGAGGAGGGAGGGAGGAGGGCTGGACATGAGAAATAGACCCGGTGGAAGCCAATGGACACAGAGATCAGGGGGGCCGGCCAAGAGGCACTTGGAAGGAGGAGGAGTGTGTGTGTGTGTCTGTGTGTGTGTGTGTGAAAGAGAGAGAGCGAGCGAGAGAGAGAGTAAGTGAGACAGGGAGAAGAGAAGCAGAGATGTCTAATGAAAGCAATATGCAGAGGGAAGGAGAGGTGGACGCAAAACAGCGCAATGGAAGCCCCTGGACAGGAGCTCGTTGCCGCGTGCACACCGGCAGAGAAGTGTCCCCGCGCGCGCACATACGTGCGTCTGTCGTGTGTTGTGTCTTTGGCTGGTCACGCTGGTTCGAGAAGAGAGGGCAGAACCGGACACATTTCTAATCAGAACTCGTAAAAAAAAAAATTAAAAAATGAACGGGGACGGTAGAGTGGCGAGTGTTACAGTGATGGCTGTAGCGAACAGGACAAACAGGTTGAACGACCAACAGACACACAGAGGCGGGCTGGAACCCGGGAGGCTTCACGTTGCGCTGCTGTTTGTCAATAATAACCACATCCAGGCCGCCCACCACGCAGGTTTCAACACGACAAACATGGAAGTAGCTGCAGACGTTCACACACACAAATGGAGATTGCTCGGTTCTGATCGTGAGCCATACAGCACCATCAGTCATTATTAATCTTATGATGACTTATAAAAGAAACGCACGCTCAACTTTGTTCAACGTGTTCCATGTGAAGATGGACAAAAGTGCTGTTTTCTAATGTTCTATTTGGTTGTGAAACAATGAGCCGATATTGAGGACTGGGTCACGCGCTCTGCATCCGTCCCTTAAATCCAGCTGTAGGCTATTTTACTGTGATCAGTGATCGGTTGAGGACCCATACCTATCCGTTAGACTAGTGCGTCTGTTTCTGTGGTTTTTTTCTAGTTCGAATCCAAACTGCATCCCATTAGATCGTGGGAGTGCGAGCGGGCCCGTGCGCTCCCCGTGTAATAACTTTCAGATGTGCCTCAGGTTCGAGTTGCATACCGTACAGGGGAGGGTGTGTTGGCGGTCGCGTTGGGGGGGTGGAGAAGACGAGAAGGAGGAGGAAGAAGAAACAGAAGAAGAGGAGGGGGGAGAGAGACTGTAAACACTTTTTTGTGATAAAAGGGGGTTTGGAAATATAAGACGCGGGGCTTAAAATGATAAAGGCGCAGTGTGGCGCGAGCACCTATTTAAAAAATGTCGCTATCTACCGAAGAGCGGGCTGAATTGGAAAAAAAAATAATAATAAAAAGGGGAGACGCAGATGGAAGTGCGCCGATCTAAGAGAACGGATGGTTTGGGAACGGAGAGATTCGTCCGGTGGAAAGAAGTGCAGGGGAAGGAGCCGCGGCGACTCTGGTGGGTGCTTCGGAGACCTGGAGCCACGAGGACTGACCGAAGAGGACCGCGCACTTAATACAGGAGGGGGGTAGGGGGTGGAGGAGGAAGACGAGAGAGAAAAAGGAGGAGGAGAGAGGGGTGACGGGAGAGAGACACGGGGAGCGGGTTGGAGGGAGAGAGCCAGTGGAGGAGGAGGTTCAACGTCAAAGGGGGGAAAAATGCATGACCAGTGAGTGAAATATTTGTGCAGGCTGCAACTCGCCGCGCGGCTCATCAGGGGGGACCGGTCTGGCTCGAGTGCGGGCGCGCGCTTGTCGCGCGTGCGCGGCGATTACCCCAGGTGTGGGCTAATTGTTCCGTTTGTGACCGTGCGAGCCAGTAAAGAATTATTTAAAGCCGGCAGGGCAGATGTGTTTGATTTCATGTTAAAAAAGTGACACTGAAAAAAACTGTGGACAAGCGTATGGACGTTTGTGTTGTAAGATTTAAATGAACTGGATTATTCGTAACCAATTAATAATTTTAAACCAAATTCGAGAAGATACTTTCGAATTATTATCATTATCATCATCATTGTTATTATTATTACTATCATTATTGTTGTTGTTGTTGTTATTCCAGGAGCAATTTGCTTTATTTTTACCTTACAGCAACTGTACCAGAAACACACTTATGGCAGGACCTGTTTTAGGACGATCCATTTTTTAAAAACGTCGCGGACAGGAACCAAACTCCGCTCGGGGACGGGTGACCGTTGTGTGTACCAGCGGTGACATTTTATGTTAGTCAGTTTTCAGATGGCGTAAGGTTCTGCTTGGACCGTTTTCCTCAAGTGAATGTTAACCCAACACTTTTTATTTGACAGAGTGACTGATAGAAATTAAGTGTTGCTTACGCATCGCTCTTTGAGGAAAATGTATGAAGCTTGGAAAAAGCATTACGGGCCATTAGACATATATTTCTAAAAACCCCTGAAGGGAACAATTTCAGCGTTATTTCTGGGGTATCCAGTGTACGGGTTGGCCTGTTGCTTTCTGAATGGCTACCACATCCAACAAGCGTGATCCAGTTACAGACCAAACCCAGTTGACACGCCGTGTAGTTCGGAGGTGTGTTCACATCGTTGGGATTTATTGCCTGGTTTTATAAAGCTAAAAGACGAAAGACTAAATGTAAACTGCTTGTCGGGTGACGATATGAGGAAAACTTGCCCTGCTGATCTCAAATCTCTCCGTGACATTTCCGTTCCCTGCTCGGATTTTAAAGGGGCCTTCGCGTTTGCAGCCTCTGTGCGCGCATCCGAAAGCGTCAACCTTGACCTCTTCCTACCACCCGTCTCCATCTGTCGGCAACAAAGAATGCCTTTTGCGTCTTCTCTTCTTCCCTCGTCCCCCCCTCCTCCTCCTCTGGCTTTTTCTCCTCCGCTTCCTTTAACGCAGGCATATTCATATATTCGCGCATATGCACACAAACGCACGCACACACTGTGCCAAGGAGGGACATTGATCAAAGCCCCGCGGAGCTGCTCGGACGCAGAGAGCGCGCGGGGGGGGGGTCTCTATATGTAAATAGCAGCGCGTCGCCAGGTTCTGTCATAAATCAGTCAGGCTGCGTGCTTGCTGCGGAGGTGCAGGCTCTGCACGCCTGACAGGAGCAGCTCTGCTTGTTTGTGTGTGTGTGTGTGTGTGTGTGTGTGTGTGTGTGTGTGTGTGTGTGTGTGTGTGTGAGCCTGCTGAATATCTTATATGGCGACGGTGTCTCATATTTGATCGATACCGTTCAATTTTAAAGAAACGCACGGAGAGAGAGAGGGGTTTAACAAAGGCCCTGCTCAGGTGCTCGGGTTAAAACAGATAACGCCGAAAATGTCATCTTCCGTTCCATATTTAGGCCACACAGTTATCTTCAACTTTATTCTTCCTATTCAGCACTTTCGTACCCTCATTAAGGTTGAATCCACTTAATCAACTTACGTGTTAAAAGCATACATAAAGGATGAGTGGACAGAGCGATGCTTTGATAATGCTTGGTAAAACGGTGAGGGGGAGAAGTTGGGTTTTGAGAGGGACGGGAGCAGCTACAGGGCATCACAGCGGCGGCAGTCACATGCCCGTTTTTCCGTTTACGCAACACAGCTCCGGGGAAATGGGGGACTGGGGGCGCATTTCAATATATGTAAATGAATGGGTGATTGGGGGTGGGGGGGCTCTGAGATAAATCAAATCCACACACAGCACTCCCCCTCTTCTCAGCGCTCCTCTCTATACCTTCTTTTCCACTCAGCCGCTGCTTTTGTTGCTTTTGTCATTATTCCCCAATGCCGCGCGTAAAGGCACGCCGCACACTGACACCGCTGCGTTAGACACCTAGTCACAATGACAGAACTTACTCGGCCTGAACATCGTGTTTTTTGTGGCAAATTAAAGGATCTGATCTATAATCAAAAATCACAAAATCCCAAATAATGTGTTTACTCAAGCGCCAGTCGTTGGATTTTACGGAGGGAAAAGGTGCTTTATTTTTCAGCGTTTCTTTACTAAGCTAAATACACCTGAGCAAAACCTAATACCATTTCTTAATATAATTTACGACTAAATATATAATTGATGGCTGGTTTTTAAGTTACTCTTAAAAGTTAAGTTTTCCTTTTTTTTCACTGGCTTCATTTACAGCATATCAATGTTCGGATCAGTGACAAAAAACGGCCCGAATATACAATATCGGAACATATAAAATACATTGTTCGCCTGTTCCGTGCCTTTGTTTCTGCAGTCTTAAGTTAAATCCTACATAAATCTATTCTCTTGTTTTTGCGCAGAGGAATTCCGGGCAATGGATGTCCGAACACATCCCTATATATATAGCACGGGCACGCATATACCTCAATTTCTCATCACCACCGTCTTTCTATCCAAAAAGCTGTACAATATCGAGACCAGCCATGGATTTTGCTTTTTCACAAAGCGCCATTATCACATCTGGGGATGTGCGCGCACGCCGCTGCGTCGGCCCGGTGGTATTAGATGAAATCGGGTGGGATTACACGGTTATAGAGCAAATTATTGCGAACCCCCTTTTACACGCCTCCCTTCTTTTCTCTGTTTTTCCCCCTTCTTTTTTTGATGTGTGGAACTCAGGGACGGGTGACTTTAAGCCAAAGAAACAAAGATCACCCTAACTTAGTGTGACCATGCTGATCCTAGACTGGGCTGATCCTCGTTATGTGAGCAATATCGATGTGTAAATCCCAAAGGAACCAAGGGGTCTTTTTACAAAATGAACAAAATAATACCTGTTTGTGTAGGGCCTCCTTGTTTCTTCATGAGATATCATCTTTCACCATCTCTACAGCATATTCACCATATTCACCCTACTCCTTGGACTTTGATGTGTGCTTCTACTCGACTTTATTGGCGCCTTTGTTAAATTGTTGTTAATCTTACATTAGATTAAACGCATGGTTACGATGATCAACGGCGAGAGGGGAACTATACCTTTGGGACAATCAGGCGGGTCTTCTGCCTCAGACCATTAAACCATCTGAATTTGTTAAGATAATTGAATGGAGTTTCTTTAGATGGGCGGTGATATGCTTATCTTACACATACCACAGCTTCAGCCTCCAATGGTTAAAGGTGACTTAAACAAGCCAAAAGCATCAGGCTACAAGCAGTTGTTGTATTTTTAACCAGTGCTTTTAGAGGTTAATACTCTAAAAGAATTTTAAACGGTGTCAGGTTGCAGGTCAGGTTGATTTAAGTCCAACACCATTTCACATCAACACTCACCTTTTCCTGACTGATTGATTATCAGGACGCTTAGATGTTTGAATACGGAGCAGGATGTAAACAGGACCAGCCAATGCTGAAAAAGAATAGAAGAATGCATTTAGGTCCATCGCATTTGACAAATTTACAAATATAACCCACTACTGAAATTAAAAAGCGACAAATTTCCAGAGGTGACTCTAACGGATTTCCAAACACAGACTTTAGCTCCCCCTTGTGTCCAAAAAGAGTGTTCGGTATTGGGTGATGCAGAAATCAAAGAGCCTCCATACCGCAGCATCCAGAGGGCCCTGACGGTTACTTCCACAAACGGGAAAACATAACAAAAACTATTAAATTATTTGCCTTGCTATGTAGGCTATACTTCGAATGAGTCTGAAACAGAAACTCAGATGTACAGATGGAAAATGCGCATAAAAGCAACATGATGCATTTAGGATTTAAATGTGAGTGGGATTATCGCCGCTATTGTCCAACGCATCTGTTTTAATTCATTTTTTAGGACAGATCATTCAAAACAATTAAAAAAAAGAGAAATGTTAAACATTTTACTACTCCGCCTCCCCTCAACCTTGGACGTTTTTTAGGGATTTCACATGATAAAGTGAATACAGTATAACAAATTGGTTAATTATTCTTCGGGCGGCTGAAGTCTGCAATTGGTTAGTCTTTTCAGTCATTCATGTGAAATTAAATTGTTTATCAATTCATTCAGACATGTGTTATCCGTCAAGTTGTACCGGAAAGAATATGTAAAAACCCTGCGCCATATTTCCTCATAGATATAATTATTATTACCTATTATTATTACATTATTAACATACTATTATATTCAACATTTCTGTTATTGTTGGACCTATTATCATAATTCATTTAACCAAGCCTAATAAATTACCACTGGAGACCAATAACAGTTGATACTTTCCATTATATCCACCACGAGCAGCTAATATTAAACATCGTCCGTGTGGTTGAGTGTAAGGATTATTAATCCAACAGAATAATTCTCCACCAGTCATCGGAGTCTGTAAATGAAGTTGGATCCAGTAAATCTTCGCTCAGCTGCGGAGGGAAGTCTGAGCGGCCCGCTCCTCAGAGAGCTTAGAGATAAATCACATCTTTTAATGAATATCAATGGGGGAAAAAAAAGATTTGGGGGGTGGGGGGTGGGGGGGGGGTTAAAGCATGCAGAAACTGGCTATGTAATTAGATTAAGCTGCGCGAGGGGCGGCGCGCGCGCGGACGGGGGGGGAGTTCTGCGGTAATGACTGCTATCACGACAGCGACTTTTCTAATGGGCTCCGAAAGCGCCGCCACGCAGCCAAACCCTTTCAGACCATTAACACCGAGGGTGGCGACGGCGGGGGCATAACAAATCTAATCTGACATGACACCCTTCTGTTTCAGCCTGCTTGTTAACCGGCGGCGGCACGTCACCGCCAGCCAACCGTGAGCACCCCCGGAGCAGCTAGCTACAAAACTTTGGAGGGGCTTCGCGGTCTGCACTCCCGAAGACAAAGTGTGACACATGACAACATATTATTATCATAAGTGCTCAATTATAGGCCTACTTTTCTGCTATTGTTCTATTAGACACGATGGGAACTGGGCTACTCACGTTTCGCTGTCAGAAACTAAAATAACGCCCACAGCTGCTTTCCCCCAAAGAAACCTCGAACAGACTCTTGCCTTCGGAGGTTATGGCACTCATTTGCGCTGTTTTAGATTAGCCCATTACCGCAGCGAAGGCTCGAGCTAATAATCAAGTCGCACCTGAGCAATTAGCGCGTGCCCGTTACTAATTAAGAGTCGTATTCACTTTGAAAGTAAAATGATTCGACGCTTTAGGGGAGATAAACACAACATTTTAGAAAAAAAAAGTAGAAAATGCAGAAATGACTGATAGGCTAAAAAAAACCGATGGGTTTGAAGATGAGTCAGTTTAACGTCAAAGTTCCCCTGCGCATAGAGTGAATTAGGCCTATTTTAGTTGTTCGGATTCGCGGACATCAACGCTTGTTTGAGCGGCTACTAACGGGGGATGTTTTACAAAGGGCCAAACGTCAACAGAGGGGGGGGGGGGTAAATCTCAGGAATGAAGAAAGGGCGTCGTGTGATATTTCTTATTTTGTCTGTTAAAATAAACGATTTGGACTCTCAAAACAAGAATAAGACACTCTTAGCCTAAAACTGCATATTCCGATTATGGAAAGAACCGTGAAGTTCAATGAAATCACATTCTGCTGGGAATTTAATACAATAAAAGAACACAGAAATGTTCTAGAAGTTTCTAGGCTCAGGACTGGATAGGATAATTAAATCTACTAAACATAAGGTCATACGGCTGATTCATATTTTTTACTCTATTTTTTAACATTTATACTTTTTAAAAAGGACCAGACCCTTGTTTGTTGTCTGGTTTTTGAAGGACAGAGAATGTAAAATAAACCAAAACCGCAGTGTGAGTATTATTGGTTAAATCATTTCCAGACAGGTTTGGACATATTCTGCTACATTTCAATGGCAGATCACAGGTGCATATGCACTGAATGGAACTTGGCGACTTGGCTTTTATGACTCAGTCATCCAATTTAAAGTATCATTGTTCGAATTTAGCTGAAAAAGCCTCAACTAATGAGCGTACATATGGAAGTAAACGACGTATGAAGATAAAGCACTGCTCTTCACTATCAAAAGACTCTTTTGTATCCAATTATGATGCACAAATTCATTCCCAGGTAAGGACAGAGTTCCGTTATTTTTTTAAAAGCATTTTCATCAGGTGTCTTGGAAGGACCTTATAACTGAAGCAGGAACGTATATGAATGAATATGTGGTTCTTTTTATGTTTGTTTTGGAGAGAGGGGTGGGTGCAGTCACAAGGTGTTAATTGTTTACCATGTGAATGTTGTTTATGTTCTTTTTTTTCGCATAACACAAAGAAAATAGTGAATTAGATTTCACGAACTTCGTGAAATAATGCAGTTCTGGAATCTCACCATAAGGGGGCACCAAAGAGAAAACAGCATTGCATGTAGATCCGTTTTTTATATATAAATATAAAACAGTCTTTTTTTATTATCTTGAAGACAATAAAGCTGGCATTCATGTTTGACTTTTTTTCTTCAGATGACACCAAACTGCTTAAAAACACAATGTTACTGGGAAGATTTCATTTTTTCAATCTCGTTTTAAACGTTTACTCAGTGCCACCATATAATTGTTTTTCCTGTACATGATAGCTACTAAAAACCTATCTTGTGTTTGTTAAGATTAAAGAAATTTAAAGTTGATCTTAAGTTAGAATGGTTCAAGGCCTATGGACACATTTCTGTAGGACCTGTGAATTCATTAAACTTAATTGTCAATTGTTTTGGGATTGTTTAATTCAAATGTTGAATTCAGTTTTTTGTATATAGTCTCAAATGACAAAAAACATCTCTCAGTACTTCAAAGGCACACTCTTATACAACCCCATCAAAATAAAATGCATTGTAGTACATTCATATTCCAATGTGTTTTGTTTGTCTGATTAATAAGAAATGGTATAAGTCATAGAGCCAATTAAAAGTTCCCTAGCAAATTCCTGTCTTTTCGTATGTGCTGTACATCCAATCTGATATTTTTGGACCATTACAGAACATTTCAGACTAAATTGTTTTAAATCAAAAGACAATAGTGTTGATAGGAAGTTCTACAAAAAGAAAATATGTTTATATAGCAAAATTGGTACATATATGAAACACCTGAGACCCATTACTATTGATAACATCACAATTCATATAGTAGTTCAACTAAATATATATGGCCCATTAAAATGAACAGTATGGTCATGCAAAAACTTCTTTGTGAAAAAGACAATAACAATAAAGTACATTTGGGCTTTGTTGAAAAGGGACCAAGGAGATTTTTCAATTAAGTAAAAAAAATTGCCTTTAATCCTCAAGTAAAACACAGAGTGGTCCGAATGCAACACCTCTTACCGGAAAATCATCTCTAAAATGAAACTTAATTTGGTAGCATTATGCTTTGGGGATGTCTGTGAGAGCAGGGAACTGGAAAATTACTGGAATTGAATGGAAAATGAATGGTGCCAAATAAATACATCCTCCTTGAAAACACGCTTCAAAGGAACTGAGGTCAAGACCAAGATACATACCTTTTAAGGTGACGGAAACGTGAATGCTCAAAGGGAACAAGGGATCACACAGGTATGACCTCAGCTTGGCTGAAATGGTGTGGTATGACTTCAAGATTGTTGTTCTGTATACTAGCAGAACCCGTGCATCTTATGTGAACTTATATGTATCTTCTCATGCCTTACACCTATGTCCAGATTATTCATACTGCAATACTGTACAGCTCTTAGTACAGCACATTTAAATTCTCCACCCACATTATGTGCATACCGGATATACATGCACTCTCTTAACAATTTATGATTAAAAAAGACTTCTATTGCATTTTGTGTAAATATTTCTGTATTTTTCACTTGTTGGAAAAGTGCATTTAATTGGATCTGTACCTGTACACTGCACAATGAAACTACGGTTTAATTTGATCTAAATAGAAAACAAGTAACTTTCATCAAATCTGTTTTCTAAGAAGTCAGGTTCATACTTACCACATTAAAGAGGTCAGTTTTATTCAGTGATATCCAGACATGATTAACCTTTAGCATTCCTCTCAGCCGTCAGTGTAGAAAGCAAAGCAAGACTAACCTTGGTCGCATCAAATCAACAGGTTTGATTATAGAAACATACGGGAGTTGTTACAATCATAATTTTTTTCATATTTATCTGAAAGAAATATTTATCTGAAACAAGTGCTTAAAGACTGCTCTAAAAAACTTACCGTCATGTGAAACATGTCTCTGAAGTCCGAGGCTTCCCAATAACTTCAGATCACTCTGTTAAATAAAGAAAAATGGCAGGTTTTCTTTCACACTGTCTTTTATTTGTAAATAATAAAAATGAACTCTTGAATATAAAACATACACATCAGTAGAGCCACATCTGTTATACAAACAAGAACTGTTGCAGTGAATACTTCATCTCTCATCAAGATTTGTGGTTTGGGAGCCATGGGCTGTAAACAATCAGTATTCCTGAAGTAATACTGACAAAGGAAAGGGCAGTGGGCCACACTGCCGAGGATCAACAAAAAAAAAACATCTGCAAAAATATGTGCGCAAACCAGATTTCTCGTTGGCTTTAAAAGTCCAGTCCAAACTATAGTCATAAACAGGGAATATGATGATTAAAAGAGAAGAAAGTATACTTTGCTCTAATTGTTTTCCGCTTCTTTTTCTGCAACCGGGTCCAAAACAAGGACCTATTAGTGCGTCCTTGTGGCTCGGGGCCGCTCAGCGGCTCAAGCACCAGAAGCAAATTCCTCTCTGCAAGACCAGGAATGTTCGTGTCAGCTCTGTTTTATTTTGTTCATACCTTAAGTTCAAGCCGCTCATCCTGATTTGTATGTACAAGGTGTGGATGCGTGTGTGTGTTTGTAGTGGGTGTTCGGTCAGATACACTCTTTTTATATTCATATAACTATATCTTTATAATTTCTGTCAAACTCATAATGATACTTCATATACATTTAGCTGTTATACACACATTCTATATCTCTTATCTTGAGCCCCTTCGGTCTTAAACTACAGTTTTAGACGCCTACATCCTCAGATATGCCCGGGGCTTGAGTATGTTCAGTACTACAGAACAGCACTGTTGTTCAAAGAGTTTGAAGGAAAAACTGAACCGTAGACAGTTTTTTCTTGAGACTTTCTAATATGAATATTTAGACCCAGAGTGGTAGGCGTGGCCTGGGTGGAGTGATCCCCCCCCCCCCACACTATTGGTCCGCTCCTGTTTGGTGCGGAGATGGCTTGACTTTTCTCTGTATTCATATTCAGTACGAGCAAACTGTACAAGAACATGCAACATACAAGCTGGCCTAAAAGTATGTGAAACTAACACACGTAGTCTAGTCTTTTTTTTTTTCTCTTTTTGTTTTTACCGAGAATGGTTTGTTAAAATTTCGTCTCGTCTTTCGGTTTTTACTAAAAAGTAGAGAACGAAACAAAAAAACAAAAACAAACGGAACAAAAGAAACGTGCATGCAGCTTTGGGGGGTTTCGGGGGCGCGGCGTCCCCCGAGTCATGCTGCTCCCTCCAACAGAGGGAGTTTGAGGGGGGGGTCAGGAGGACGGGCGGGGGGTTTAGGTGAAGGCTGGTCCAGCAGGTGTGACCGGACCTTTATCTTCAGGCCTTTGGCACAAAAACTGCTTGAAAACCAAACGTACACATATACAGAGGGAGTCTGCACCTTGCGGTACCATTCTAAACAGTACAAAAAGAAAAGATATAGGAAATATTATTTCAAATGAATAAAAGTTAATGATTCATTTGGCCACTGGTTTCTCTTCTCTCAGTTTAGATACCGAGAGTTTTTGCATTTTGTCTGATTGATAGAGTTGAACCTTTTGTGCTTCCTTTCGTTTTTCACAAGACCAACGATGTGTACGTGAACGTGCAAGCTTACTTCCCTTGAAGAATCTCGTGAAACTGTCGGTCTTCGTGCTCGACACCGTTACCCACCTCTGAAAAACAGTCGCATGAAACTCCAACAGTTTGCTACTTCCTAAATCCCACTACCCCTATCAAAAAGCTGTACTCTTACTGGCTGATGGGCAACTAGGTGGAGGGACTCCGCTTCAGTCAGGTGCTCTGATGAGGAATGTGCGAGAAAACAAAAAAGAGAAAATCAAATAAATCTGGGAGAGGAAAAAAAAAAAAAAAAGAATGTCGGACAGCAACCTCCACAGATGCAGCTCGGTGGATGAAACGATGAAAGCAACACGAAACAAAAAAAAAGCGTACAGAGGAGGAAGAGGGAAGGTGTGAGACATGATTGTCAGACTCCAGCTAAGCTTTGATTGGCTAGTTCTGTCTCTCCCTCGCTCATTTCTCTCTCTTGGTCCCTGTCTCTCCATCTGGCATTTCATTGGTTGATCGAGGGGGCGTATCGTTGTCGTCCTCGGGGCGTTCCCGCCCTCTGTTCAGCTGAGGTCCAGGAGCAGTGGTCCGTTATCTGTTCGTTTGGGGGATGTTGTTGGTTTCGGTGCTCGCGGTTCGGTCACTAGGACCGAGTGCCGGGCGGCGGTCCTGAGCTGTCCAGCGACGTCTGAGACGCCAGCCGCGTGAGCGGAGCTAACGTGGGATCCACCAGCGAAGACGGCGGAAACAGTTTATACCAGCCGATCACCGTGCTCGAGAGGTCCAGGTCCTCCAACAGGATCTGTGCTACACCCATGAAACATTTGTGGTCCAGTCGTCCATAGTCGCCCCATACTATCACCTGTGGAAGCAGATTAGCCACATCAGCGAATGACACACACTAAAACATTTCACAATCCCACTGGCAACTCAAACAACTATGTCATTACAAAATGACTTCAATGAGGATTTAAGCGCCAGACGTTGTAAGTAAAAAAACCATCAGTGCAGAGCTGCTGGTTTTGAATAAAAATGGTTCAATAAAAAAATAGTTGAGTTCGACACAAATTCACCTCAATTCTCAAAGCATTCGAGTCCTCTCAATCTGTCTCAATTTACTGAAAAACACCCCTGCAAGTCAATCAAAAAAAGGTCAAAGCTGATTTAAAATAATTAGAGAAAAAGAACAGGTTTTTGGGCCAGTTACGTAAAAAATAAAGAACAAATGAAATGAAATTAAATACTTTAAAAGTCAACTACGAATTGAGACAAGCTCTGAAAGCAAATCATCAAGAGAGGCTCCGACATCAAGAGTATTTTAACAATATCACCTTTTTCACTTTCGCTGTGGCTTCATAACATCCTACGATTATTCATTTTCTGTTTATATAATGAATGAAATTGTCGTGACAGGAAAGGGTGAGAAAAATGCGGTCGGTCATTACCTGAAGCACCTTGCCCTGAGGACTCTCGTCAAAAAGCAAGTGCTGCTGGTAGAGTGGCTCCAGGGTCTTACGGGCAATCTTTGTTTTCTTTTTGGCTTTACAGGTTCCATTATCTAGCAGATATACCTTGACATAGGGAGCTAGAAGTCAACGTGAAAAGGGAGGACAGGCAGAATTAGGAAGTGGGAACATTTGACAAGCAGAGAGAGCAGGAAGAATTATTAGAGCTTAGGTGGCATCAAAGTGTCTGAATGGTCTGAATTCTATCTAAGTTTGAACTGAATGTCCTACCTGGGAGGGATTTGGAGCCTGGTTTTTGGGTAAGGCCTCGGGCCCTGATCACCTCCACCTCCAGCTGGCCTTTCTTATCCATCAAACCTATCTGAACATCACCTGTAGAGTAATGGAAGCGCCTTTAAAAACGTATTTTATCATAAAGAAGAACAGAACTTGAAAAAATGAACGGAGAGCACTTAAAACGTCTTCAAGCTTTATAAAACTTAAACAATTCATTGACATAAAAAATGAATACATATCTAGGTATAAAGTATGTGGCAGACATAATGGGCCAATCACTAACCCATGGCAGGTGTTGCTAGTGTCTGCCGGCCAACCAGCTGACCGGGGCCTAATCCATCGAGGAAGTCACTGAATTGACTGTCGGCCCCCAAACGCATTCCTGAGAAGATCAAACTGACACACACACAAACAATTTATCTACAGCACCCCTTGTACCATGCCATACTGTGCAAAAGTCTAGAAACACACACTGGCAAATTTTGCTTTTGAGAAGCAAAATTGAATTTGATCATTTTCAAGAAAACGTTTTCTGTTTTACAATATCCTATAAATCAATCTAGCATAAAAAGGAAGCTAATTGACGGTGTGAACAAGCACTGTGTTTATACATAACACATAGTTCAGAAAACTACTGTAGACATCTTATATTGTATCTTTATAGAAGTTTTTGAGACGGCATGTCACAAAGACATTCAAAAAAATTTAACCGATAACTTAGTTTGACAGTGATAGAATAGAGCTGCTACATAAAAATGTGGCATCTCCCAGCATGTTCCACACCTCTTTGCGTCTCTAATAAGACACACTGGCAGAGTTTTTTAGACCTCAATTCCAAAGTAAGTGATCAGTAAAATTAGCATCCAGTTTGGTGAAACTGTTAAAATAAGGAGAGGATTGGTAAATAGAAAAGTGCTTATTTGAGAAAACAACCGAGTATCAATGAAATGAGTGCGTATCTTTATTTGTAACCCTAACCATGCATTTGTAACCTTTTGTCAAACCAAACTGCAAATGAGGAGGATGTTAAAAGGCAAATTGATTATTTTTAATGATGGACGAACACCTCCACTGGCCTCCTCTACACTCCAAACGACAAAGAAAGTTTTTCTAACTTGCTAAACTTTGCCAAACATCTAAAACAAAATATTATATAGGAAGACACTGAATTTTGCACAGTCTTAGCTGAATTACAATTGGCTGAATTGGTAGAAGTCCTCTGTTACATATGCCATTTGCAGGTTTTCCAACTCAATTGTGCAGTGGAGTGTTCTCCTCGGTTGTCATTGACTTGTAAGCTTTTACTTGGATATTTGAGTCCCAGAAAATCCCTCATAGTATGCTAATTTTAATGCCTACTATCTATGAGCAGAACTATTTACATTGCGTCAAAGCTATTCTGGTAATTATGTCTGAATAGACTATTGTTAACATATTAGCTGTAACATATTTGCTCTACCGTCTATAATGAGATACAGTTTGCCTAGCGCCTAGGCACCTTGACAGATGATGCCTTAGCCTTTATGCTCAACAAAACTCTTTATCAAGTGGACAATAAGAAGGGAAATAATTTGAGAGGACTTTTGTGGAATCAGCTGTGGGTACAGCATCCAACACCATAGTGCCCACTAGACTGGTCACTAAGCTGTACGAACTTAAGACTGAAGTCCTCCTAGTGCAGGTGGATCCACAGCTTGCTAACTGACAGACTTTAGGTGGTACGTGTTGGTAACTACACATCATCCCCCCTCAACTTCAACACGGGATCTCTGCAGGGCTCTTTATGTACTATACACTCATGACTGCGTATGTACAAACGATAGTACCATCACTGAGTTTGCTAATGACACAGCCGTTGTGTAGTTCATCTCCCACAATGATGCGCCGGCCAACAGGACAGAAGTCATCCACCTGGAGAACTGGTGCCAGGATAATAAAGACTTCAATCTCCTGCTGACTGTGCTCAGGAACTTCTACACAACAAAGAGCATCCTGTGTGGGATGTCACGGTCTTAATGGTCACTTTTCAGCCCTAGAAATGGTGGTCCGTTAAGCTGAGCGGACAATCAGATCCTCTCTCCCCGACCTGCAGCGATGCAAGTTAAGGGCTGTGAAGATCCTCGGTTGATCACCTGGAGTACTGGAACCACCAGGCCGACACTATCAATTCCCTGGAGGCTGCCACTGAGAGGATGAGGAAGAATGTCTTCCCCCTCAGGCCGTCCAGTTTATCTCTGAGCTTCTTTTGTGTTTTCGCACTACACTCAGGCACTTCAACAGTTACTAATTACAGGGTTGGGTTTGCTTTATTTGATTTACCAGCATATGTACATACGCTTCTGAAAACTTGACATTTAACCTTTTTTGTGATACAATTTTTGTTCATTTTGATTAAGTTTTTGTGATTTGATGCCAGTACAAAAAAGAAAATTGACTGTGCTTTGCACAATTAGTATAATTGTGTATGTGACAAATAAAGATGATCTTATCATATCTTATACCAGCTGCTGGTAGTGTGACCAACATAGTTATTTTCATTCCTGTGTCCTTAGTCAGAGTATTGCTTTATACGGGCATAATTTTGTAACGTGTACGTACTTCCCCTCAGAGCTGTAGCTGTTCATGCTGCCATCGGTGGACTCCCTGCTAGCCTGCCGGTTCATGGCCGATCCTCCTCGGGGATACTCCACGGCCATGCCTGTCTCCACGCTCCTCTGAATGCTGCTGCTCCCGGACTTACTGACCTTTTTACCTGCCGGCACTTCTGCGGCAAACACAGTGAAATTCCGTTAGACCGGGGTCATTTTTAACAGACGCTCACTGCAGTTATCAGGCCTCCCATCACACCTTTCAAAAACAGAAGTTAGACCTGTGTCAACAAACCAAAACAATGAATTATTTCAAATTATTCACAGATTAAATAGCATGTTTTTTTTAAAGTGATTTTGTAGTAACTTGGACAAGCCTGATAACTTGAGGTTGAGATTTTTCTCTCTGAAGGCCAACCCATGCAAAATGATATTCCACGGTGACCTCGCCAACATCTCAAAGTGTTGAATACAAAATAAAGTAGAGTCGTACAAATGTGCACAACTTTAAGCCAACTTATCTTTGTTTTGTCTGAAAGAAAGATAAGTTGGCTTAAAGACCCGATTGCTTTTAAAGTAGAAAAATCATTACAATGTTTAGTGATGAGGTCATTGCCAGAAGATCTCAATAGGACAAAAAGTGGCTCAGTCAGGACATTCACATCTTGAATCCCAGCAGGGATGTAAATGTGAAAACTGGGACCCTGAGGAATACACAGCTTGAAAAAAACCATAAAGGAAGAATTCAGTTCTTTTCAGAAACCAGCTGTCTTTATTTTATACACAAATTCCCTCATATGTAGTTTCCTTTTTATATATCCCAAAAAAGCATTATACAAGATGCACAGTACACTGTATAAATCAAATTATCAAAGTAGTTTTAACCAACTCAGCCAGGCTTCTTTTAGAACTGAACCAACCATTAAACAAAATGCCACGAGAGGAGGGTGGAGTAAGGAAGCGTGCAAGAGACAGATTTCAGGAAGGGATCACTAATCTCAGAGAACATTGAACGTTCTATCTAGTTTTGAACTTCAGGTTGAACAAATTATTTTCTGTGGCTCCTTTGGTACTTATGATTGATCCATTGAGTCTGTTTGTAAGGTCTACTGTGATGTTTCATAATCTTTAATAAATAAAAAAATATATACAGTGAAGTAAAGAAAATGACATCTAACTGTTTTTACATAATCCATGTGCTATTGTAAATGTTTATCCACAGCCCAATTTGCTAGCATTCTTTCTATATTACAACCATAAACCTCTCACGTATTATATTATTCTATAAGTGAGAACTATCTGTTTGAGCATGCATGTCTGTTTCTTTTTTTTTTCATCAAAATGCTAGTGTTTCCTGTAATTCCTTCCTGCCTTTTGCTTTACCTTTCTGTCTGTCCGCCGCCTTACCCGGTGCCTCTGAAATAACACACAACAACAAATCCAATAAATAACAACAACTGAACATATCGTTGCATTGAGAACCACTGCTTCAGCAGACAATGGTTGCATGAGCCAATGCTGTGGGATATGTGCATGGTGTGACCCCTTAAATAACTCATTAGAAGTCCATATTGCTTTTTATAAAATGTATTGTATAATGTATTGTTTTTGTTTTTAATAAAAAATCCATCATTCCATGAAAACATATCATGTATCTAAAAATTCTTTCCAAGAGTCAGTTTTTTAATCAACAGCTGCCAGAAGTAGACAGGATTAGTAGATACCAAAATCATTTTTTTATGTTTCCCTAATGGGAAATACATGATTAAGTAAAAGTGCTTTAACTGATGTTCATTATAGTTGTTGGTTATTGTTATCAATGCATTTTCACATATACTGTTCTACAAAAAAGTGGAAAACATTTCAAATAGTAACAACAATATTAATTCTTTGCTAACATGTCAAATTATGTTTAATCCCACATTCCTAAAAAGAAAATAACTTTAAATGTTGTTGCATTTCCGACTTCTTAGAGAGGGCTAGTAAGTTGGCAGAAAATGTGGATAGGGGAAATTCAATTTGAAATCCCTATTTGTTCAAATAGTAAAACATTGATAGCTTCGTGCAAACGAAAGCACTTTATGATGCTGGATGGTCTCTGGGACAAAAGGAAAAACAAAGTGATCTCAGTGTGGTAAGACTGCTTTTTGAGTTTATTGCAGAGAGTGGAGTTTCCAAAGTGAACAATGAACGAGGCAAAAATTTACTAAAGAGAAATCAGAGATCAGAAACCTCAAGATCTATAAGCAAAGGAAGGCCACTGCTGATTTCTGGCATAGACAAATGCTTCTGGATCAGAGTTTGAGAAATGTTCCTGAAAGACCATAAACAGATGACTGATGGAAGAAAGAGAAGCTTAAAGGAAAGAATAGCTGCTAAGTAGCCAATACGGAGACAGACCTGCAAACATCCAAAAACACCCGGAGTACTGGAACCATTAAAGAAGCTGAGTCAAAGTCCATGTGGGTTAGTAGATTCAAAGACAGATCCCATAAAGGATCTATCTCTGAAGCTTAGTTCTAATTAATTAAAAGACAATAACAGTTAAATTACTGAGCTAAAATATGTAACAGGTAAATTAACTATAAATCCATCAATTGACATTTTAAAGAAAAGAGACTGATAACGTGACTTTGGTTCTAATTTGAATAGATCTGAATTTGCATGTGAATTTGTTTTTTTGCGCATTGTTTGATATTTCTTGGAGACAATGTGTTTGAAAACCACAGATGCAGACATCAACTTGTTTATTTTTTTCATAGTTTATAATGCCACAATCTGCTACATTAGGTACAACCCCCTCTTATGAGAGTAATTTCAGTAAAAATAGTGTTTTTTTAACATTTTACTTTGTAAAAATGTATACATTAGCTCAGTGTTAGTCAGCATATAATGATTACTGTTGCTAATACTGTTGCTAAGAGACAAATTAGTGCTGATTATATCTGCTTTACACCTATATATCATTATAAAGTTAAATCACATAGAAAATCTAAAAAGAAGGACTGTGGTGCTCTGCTTTTATAGCCTACCAATCGTACAATTCTAAAGCTGTACACCATGCCTTTAAAGCAAATAAATGATTGGTCTTGAACATTCAACCTTAAACAATAATTCCCTGTCACAGTTAAACAGTCTGGATCTTTGCCTGTTCTTTAAGGAGCTCATGCAAACAGGCTTTTTGCCCTTTGCTGTGTGGCTAGCACAGCCGCTCAGTGTAGACTTTGATGGATAAGAGACACCGATTAACTTAATCTAGAAGCTACATTTTATCCGCCTGTTCTAACCTGAGTTGATGGTGTAAGATACTCAACATGATTACATAGTGATTACATGGAGTTATAGCTGCAGTGACAGCTGAACTGTACCATTGAACTGGACCGGAATTGAATAACTGACTGAACAATGATGATGAAACGATGCTGTAAAAAAAAAAAAAAAAAGCTATTCTGCTGCTTCTAACTTTTTCTGTGGAAGATCACCATACAAGTATACACCTCTGAAAACAACGTACAAACTTTGGCTTTAAATGTAAATTTCATTAACTTACTTATTGGATTTAGATTGTATTACAATTGATTGAACTTTAATTGGCTTGAACTGGACAGGATTTCCGAAGTGCCATGATAAGAATTTTTTGGTTATTTGGAACTATTTGAATAACATGGAATTAAACTAAATTTAATTTAAATTGTATTTAATTCTTTCTTTTTTGTACAGCACTGTGGTCTACTGTGGTTGTTTTATAAACAGCTTATAGCTTTATAAGTAAAGCTGGATTGTCTTGGATAATCTTAATGGACTTACGTCCAGTCAAACGTTTTGAAGCCATCTGAGATAAGGCAAAATGTGTGAAAAAAAAGGTCTATTAAGGAATTTGGCCACATTAATATCAAATTTACTGATTTTACTAAATAAAAAGTAACACACACACACATATATGGCATATAGATGTGATCTCATTCCCAATCCCACTATTTTAGTGTGTTGGACCAGTTTGACAATCTCGATTTAATCTAACTTCAGTCAAATAAAGTTTGATATTTTTTTCAATCAGACTAAAACTGAAAATTGAAATGTTTTTTTTCTGCTGTGTAAACAGGCTAACTGCAGATAAATGATTTTTATGTTGGACAAATGCAAAGAAGGAATGTTAAGTGAACAGTTAACCCTTGATTTCAGGTTCATGTAGAGCTACGTCAGCCAATTTTGATAAAAGGGACTAAAAACAAAGGATGTGAGAAATACATTCAGTCCGGATTCCCTCTAATTAAATTTTCTTTTGACTTGACGGTTATTTTTCTCTCTCTGTAAGAACGCAAGACAACTCCACATTGAGTCTGCTCACTGACCTGTCTGGATGATCTGTGAGGTACTTTGACTCCGCCGTGACGGCAGGATTGCGACTACACGTTGGCTTAGACTGGAGCGCCGCTTCTTGATCCCGCTCCCGAGGCTCCCGAGCGCCGTGTCTGATTGGCTGCCGTCAGCGTGCTCCATTCCATAGATCTCGCCGCTCACGCTGGTGCTCTTCATGATGTGACGGCCCGATGCACGCATAGCTCGGCTAAACACATTTTAATATCGTTTATTATGATACTGTTATTAGCCTCAATATTACCTTATGCATTTTGAAATATCATTCTCACTGATTATAGTGCGGCCATTTTGGATTGCGAATGTGTGTGTGTGTGTGTGTGTGTGTGTACCTGAAGCGTCCCCGAGGTCTCTCTGACTGGATGGACATGTAGCTGGTGCTACTGATGCGAGAGGCACTGCTGGTTCGAGAGATGGCTGACACGTCGCTGACATCACTGTCTGAGGATTTATGGGATACATTTTCACTACTCCTCCGCTGGTCCTTGTAGACCTGCAGGAACGCAGAAATCCCCTCAAAATATTGCACGTTTTTCTTTAAGCGTTAAAGATATTTGTCAAGTTGATAGAAGCCGAAACAAGAAATAAAAAGGACAGTGAGTTATGAGTCTTCGTGGGAAGGTGGACATAGGGGAATGGTCTAAACATATGGTGTTTAAGTCTAAGAGTTTGAACAAATATGCTATGAAGCAAAACCAGCAGTAACAGGTCCAGCTAAAATATAAAAAAAAAAAAAATATATATATATATATATATATATATATATATATATATATATCCCAAATATTGCACGTCTCTGCCTCCTCATTGGTCTTATATTTGCAGTTTAAAAGTCTTTGGTGGATGTACTTGCTTGATGTGGCATTAAGCTAATTGTATTAGATTTTTAAAAACTTTCATCATGATGTGGTTATTTCATAATCAAGCCCTTATTGTACAGATTAAATTTTATGCTGTCTTCCAGCATACCCAGCTATAATGTAAAAGGGGGTCTTGTAGACTAAGTTTTACGGTTTTCTTTCGGGTTCGTTGGGTTGCGAATAAGCTCAGCCATTGGCAGAAAATGAGTGGTGTATGTTGAAAGCAGCGTTTAGTGAACTAAGCATTTCTTTATTTTGAGTGGCTAGTGTGAAGCTTTTGGTAAAAACTATATTTACAAAATATATTTTGTTCAGTGGCCAAGCACTACAAACACAACATAGCAATTTCTGAAATATACATTTACATAAAAATAACTAAAAAATTACATTTCAGGACAAAATGTTTTTTTTTTAAGAAATGCAAAAGACCTTTACAAGTTCCAAAACAAATTTACTGACAAAAAAATAAATGGAAAAGGGAATACAGAAATGACTAAAATTAACCGGAAAAGCCATTACTCTATTATTTTATATTACTATTTTATATTTATTTTATGAGTGATTCCTTTGTATTGAAACTCTGTCACAACAATTTGCTGTGGGATCAATAAAATTCTTATTTTAGGGCAACAGAAAACTACCAACTTTAATGCTAATCTGGTACTGATAACAGTAGCGCACATGGTGACCCCATGTGATCGCTAACTGACGTTAAAATTCTAAAGGCCAACCACACAAAACAAAACAGCTTTGATCTACTCATATGTGTGCCACAAAGTGGGAAAAACAGCACTCAACTACTGTCCATCTTGGGTCAGCATGAGTGCTCCCGTTATCAACTCAGGTCATCTCAGATAAGTCATTAATTTTATTGATTGAATACAAAGGAGCCTGCACCAGGAATCACACAAATTACACACAGAGACAATATGTATCTCTATAAAACAACAGAGAAACACCCGTTACGGTTAATTTTGAATTTGTTTTGGGATTTGTAAATGTGTTTCTGGGTTTGTTCATTTGTTCTGTAAAATGTACATTCGTTTCAGGATTTGCAAAAGTGTCTGGAATTGTTAATTCGTCTTGTGAAATGTAAATCTTTCGTACTGAAATGTAAATTTGTTTTCCAAAATGTTGATCTGTTTTAAGCTTTGTAAACGTGCTTCAGAATTTGTATTGGTCTGCACTCCCAGCCACCGTAATTTTGCAGTCTGAAGGTAGATTTTGCAACTCAGGTGAGCAACCATGTACATTTTTCATGTTGCAACTGTGAAATTGATTCTATAGTTTTGCAAAATTTTTATTGATATTATGAGACAAACAAATTGTGATTTTGTTTTTTGTTTTTTTTAGTTTAGCTCTACTAATGTCACCCTTTTTGTACCACTTATCAAGGTGTTACTTTCCTACAGAGGTGAGTAATTTTGGTGTGGTCATGATTAATCATTTTGCTTGTATGCAGGGCTGAGCAGACCAAACTCAGTTTCCTGGATGGACTCTGGAGGATATAGGACAGTATTTTTTTTCTATTTTCTCTAGGGGAAAGATGTGGCCTTAATGTTTCAAGCCGCCTGTCAGCAGCTAAAGGTCTGTGAATTCTTAGTGTTATCACCACTTCTACATATTGTACCTAGAGTGATGCACAGTAAATTATTATTGCTCTTTGCATATCATATCTGGTCCTCTTGTAATGGCACCATCCAAGAGAGACCGATACTCATGTTTAGTGTGTGGGCTCAAGAGGTCATCATAATGAGTGATTTTATAAAAGAACTTTATTGAATATCCATACAAATTAACTAAAAATATTCCTACCAGTCATTTTTACATTAACAGCACTTCATATTATTAATCTCATACCTTGTTATGATATGGGACCATTTTGTCAGCAAAAACTAAAACAAGCAGCAGAATGGTGAACAATAAGAGTTGATTTTTTTTCTGCAAGACACACACCAAGGTCACTTTATATAAATCTTCAATTGTTAACCACTTAACCCACTTTGGATAGCTAAGCCCAGGGACCTTGCAGTACCTGTGAGACAATAAAGGGGTTGAACCGAAGCCAATCAGAAGGTAAAAAATCCCTGGCTGTATTGAATGTATCTACTCAGTATATAATGAGTCTGTGGTCTTGTAGTTTTGTTGGACGGTTGACTGCTTTTTGCTATTATATAAGGCAATACAAACTCATCAGGTGGAAGCCAACACAAAAACCTAAGTGAGCAGCTAGAAGCTCAGAGCATTCGCTTGTACTATTTAGAAATACCTTTCAACAACACTTGTAACACAAATACAAAAATTCACAGGGTTAGATAAAATATTAGGAAAGATCTGATTGCAGAGAGTGTTAGGGTGCCTTGTAGTTTTTTCGCAAAATATTAGTATTCTTACTACCACAATACTGGAGTGTAGATAAAAAAAACTCTAGTCAACAAACTTTATAGAGTTAGAATAGGATTGCATGTATTTTATTTTCAATCTAATTTAACTTTGTCTTGTTTTCCTCGCGAGAAGATAATTAAAGTTAAAATAACTTGTGAGTACTGAACTTTTACAAGCAGACAAACCTTTAGTGTTTGCCACACAATGAAAACAAATTAGAGCTACGGTGCATGTCCCAGTTATCGGACGATGCTTTCCTGAAAGTCTTTACCCCCAATCAGTACTTAATCGTGACAACTTGGTGGATTTTCAAACACTGACACTGACATTGTATTTTTATCATGTTGTTAATGCTCATGTTAAACAGTTTCAATCTATTTTTGCCTTACACAAACAGAACAATTCAATTACTTGCATGTTAACAAGTATGAAATTCGCAATGTCACCTTTAAACTGACAAAGATCAGGAAACAGCCTTTCTGCAGTACTGAATATGTCAGATAAATCCCTGATTAACTACCTACTTGGAACCTATTAATTTAACTGAGTGGTCGTCACCATTACTGTAACATAAATCATTACGTCCTGAGAGATTCAGTGTAATTCTATATGATCCCCTTCAAGAAGATTACTGGCTTGTGGTTGCTGTCAGGAGTGTTTTTATTTTCCCCCCCACCACTCTCCTGATGAGTTTGTTCAAAAGTGAGCTGTCAGAACAACCACAGACCAACGCTGGAAGGAAAAATAAGGCGGTGTCTTACCTCACGTTTGTTCCTAAGGGCTCTGTCCAGGTCCTGTTGGCTGGACGTGCTGGCAGCGGACACCCGGTTAGAATGAACCCTGATTTTGAGTTCACGAACACGCTCCTCTGCTACCAAGGCTGTATGTCCACAAAAAAGAGAAAAAACATCTCAACACCTTCCTTTTAATTGAACCGGGCACAAGGAGCTGTACGTAAGAGTTGAAGCAGACATTCTTATCCAACCTGGCAATGGGGCCATCAGAAGTTTTGTGAAAATAATGCTCATCTATAACTTATTGAAATTGAGATTTTCTCTTGACTAAATATTTTAAACATCAAATATCAGTTTGTGGTTTTGGGAAGTTACATATATATACACCTGTCTGACTAAATTTATCCTAATTTAGCGATTATTTATTAAACCTTAGGAGAATTCTATATAGCCTTCTGAATGACTATTTCTTCCAGATTTTGCAAATCGTTAAGAACCATTGAGCATAATTATTACATGACTTTGTCTGGGTAGTTAGTTTATAACATATAAACTTTCTCACATGTTTTAAGTTTAATCCTACTATACATTTTCACTCAAAAATAGTAAGCTGTAAACTGGGGCGGCAATTTAGAGCAAAATTGCCATTAAAAAACATTTTCCAGATTTCTTTGAGTTACTATGGTACAAATCCATCTATTTCAATGGAACCGAAGCAGACACAGGGAGAACATGCATACTCCTAGAAACACTTTTTTTTTTCAAATACAGGAGGAAATCAGATCCATTAAGCACTGTAGATTGTGTAAGTTAAGACAAACAACCCATGTGATACTGCTAAAATGAAATGCAAAAACAGCATATAAAATTCACTAACTTAAAGAGTCACTTTCAGCATGGAATAACTTAAATTAAATAATCAGTTTGTCAAATCAGTGTGGAGATATTTGAACTAACTTTTCTTTTTAATATGGTTTGTGTGCATTTGTTTATGTAGTTAATTTAAACAGTTTAATTTACACTGAGGTCCAGGTTTTTTTCAAATTGCAGTCCTTTAGTATTGTCTAAGATATATTTAATTACTTAAGGGTGCGGCTTTGCAAACCTAGCCTACCTTTCATGGGAAGAAATTGACTTTCTAAAGGTTAAAGTCTTGAATGGTTTTCAATGACTGAGTGTCTGTTTTCTTTCCCAAGTGAATCTAGATAACATTGCGTAGGATGTGTATACAGTGTAGTGATAAAACAGCATACACTCCTCATACCTTGTTCCCTGGTGCTACTCTGAGGTGGAAGCTGCGGGAGCTGCCTCACTCTCCGCGCTGATGAAGACACCAGTGAGGAAGAAAGAGACGCACCACCTTGCATGTGCCCCCTAACACAAAGACAAAACATTCAATTTAAATTAAAACATTTTAGAGTAGAGCCGAGATAGTCAATATAAGGGAGAAGAGAAAAGTGAATAGAAACAATGATGAAAGAATCAAAAGGAAGGAAATAATGCAACACAAGCCGTCCTTTTTTGTGGTTAATTTACCCCTTTTTCTCTTCATCATATCCACATAAATCAATTAAATTAGGGCTGTCACAGTGCCTCATTTGCACTGTATTATTATTACGGCTAAAAGCATGTTATAGTGACGGTGCCCAATAAATAATTTTGCCATATCAAACTAACTCCACTGAGAAAAAACAAACAAACAAAACAAAACAGAGACACTTCCTGACCTAAATAAGGTACGTCTACTGGGATTTCATGTATGTATGGCCTCAAAAGTAGGAGTAAAGTTTAAAACTGCGCAAGACAAAAAAAAAAAGAGGGTAAAGAAAAATAGGAAAAGTATCAATTAAGGGAAATCAGAGAGCAGTAAAAGCACCAGTGCCACCAAGAAATACACAGTGAAGGTGATGTCAGTTCAAAGATTGACAGTGAGAGTTCCTGTTGCTAAACCGAGATGCAAATCAAGCTTTAGATGGTGAAGCAACACAGAGAGGGTGAAAGCTTTCCACGCACAGTCTGGGTCATGTCTGCAGAAATTCATTCATTCTCATCCAGTCTTATAAAAGACTCAGAACCTGTCTTACATTTCAGAATTAGTTAGGCCATCTGCGGCATAGCGTATCACACTAATCAGTTTAAAAGAGGATAGAAAGCAGATGCTAATGAGTTATGAAGGTATCTGATTCCATCACAAGGCAATATCTGTGTTATCATTGCATAACTAAATTTTCATTAATCATTAATCATCTCTTTAGAGGTGTGTGAAATTGTTTAAGATTGACCAGTTTGAAGAGCAGGCGTTTAGTATTTAGCAATCTGATGTTCCCACTCAGAAAGCTACACCCAACCAACAACTTCCACATAAACCCCGCACTATAAATACACAAACAGCGTCAGCCAACCGTGTCGTGTGACAAAGAAATATCATAGGCATAAACATGAACTGACACAGGTAACCAAGAGTGAGACTAACACAGTCTTCTTTCTCTGAACAGTTTATAAAGGTAATGGAAACAGATCTGCTGCACTGTGAGTGGATTTTGACTGAGGGGATGGTCGATTTAAAGGGGGATCCCCTTACCGAGGGACAGTAATGAGGTTTTCCTTTGTCTGGAGCCCTTTATGGGGCAGTGGGCTCCATTCTGATGCACATACACACTGATTTGCACACAGCTGCCATACAAAACCAGACACACTGAGTAAGCAGCTGCATGCAGGAGTAGGTTATGGAAAAAAGAAAAAAAAAAGGCAGAACAAAGATAAATAAACATTACACTGGAGGCATTTCATGTTTGCAAAAGCTCTGGCTATATTATACACACATATGTCATTCCTATCAGAATCTTTTTTTTAGATTTCGTCAGCCCTTAAACTCTGTCACTATGACATTTGTAAATTTTCAAAAGTAAATTGTGGCTAACCATTATCAAAATGCCACCACATGGTTTACCGATTGCTAACCACTTGTATGCACATGGCCTATGTGTAATAGATGAATAATGAATGGCAGATAAACCTTTCAAAATGTACTCCAGTCAGTAATTGCATCCAAAAGATTAATGTAAAAAAAAAGACAAAGCAGTCTGCATGAAAGAATAGAGAAGCTTAATCAACACACCATATCATACTTTCAATCAATATCCCAATAACCTTGGCTGTCAATGTATGAGGCATCATTTTGCTATTACCCTCCAAAATGAATATGGAATCCCAGAAAAAGTCATATGTAGTACCGTATCCCTCTGTTTCTTAGTAAACACAATGCACTACATTTTCATTTGTCAACAGATACAGTCACAAACAGTTCCCAAATCAAGCCTTTATACCTGCTTTCATGAGGCCCATGCAGTGGCAAAAAATATCTCCTCAAGTATGCCCTGAATTCAAATTTGATCATTTATTCGTTTTATTTTCCTTTCTTTTCTCTTCCCAATACAATTTTGCTTTGGACAGAAACTAAACATTCTATGGATATCTTTATTTCATCTCATGAACACAAATGTTCCTAAAACAATAGACTTATTAACGTAGCGTATTCGCCTTACAAATATTGTGGACCTACTACAAGGCACCCATATTTTACTCAGGAAAAGTGACGTCTTTCTCCAAAAACGTCAAGTTCGGACTGGCAATGGAGATGGCTGAGATGTGCTGAGCCCACAGTTACATGCCTTACCTGCCACTGTCAGACCGCTTCCTGCCAAGAGTCTGACATTCAGGTGGCTCCAAGGTCCGGGGCTGCCTGAAGAATGGTGGATGAGCAAAAGGGAACAGCACAGAACAGAACAAAAAGATGAATGTGTGAATGGGTGGATGGAGGATAGCATGATGGAGGATCAATCATTTAGATTTAGAATGGGTTGACTGTCATAGGTTGTCACTGGCCTTACAAGTTTATGATCCGGGAAAAGGAAGCATGCTGTGATTGATGGCGTAATGGTGATGGCAATAAGGAGTGGCACACACTCATGCTTCACCCGTAACTGTGCCTGTGCGTATGAGTGCGCGAGGGTGTGTTTGCGCATATGTGTGAACATAAGTGTGTGTACCTCTTCTCAGTACTGAGGTGAATTAAAGACTCTTGAGAGGGAAGCAGCATCCATATTCTCCATTCATGGACATGAAAATGACAGGGACACCCACACATGCGTACACACACACACACACACACACACACACACACACACACACACACACACACACGCACACACACACACACACACACACATAGAATCACACTTGTGATATGAATTATGTATGTCATGAAATTTGTCATTTCTGAGCGTAAAAACCTTGAAAAAAAATTACACTTCTCGAAGAATGAGAGGAAAAGGCGAGAACATAAAAGCGCCCGATTCCCAGATCAAATAGTGGACGGCAAAAAGCAAACACAGCAGGGAAGGAGCTCACACCATTGTCACAAAATACTTTGAATCACAAGCAGTTCACATCTCACGCTAAAATATTGCTAAGGAAGGACAGAGAGTGTACAAAACAACACTGCGGTGACAACAACCATAATCAAAGCAACTATAGCTACTACCCATCAAACTACAAATCGAAAAAAAAAAATCACAGCCTCCAAACTGAAGTGTGAGCAAGCGACCCCGACACATTGTGATAAAATACAAACCCAAATTGAGCTTGTCATCGTATGACAAGTTCTACATATTTAGTCGCACACCCTCTGAGTTAAACCTACAAATAGTGAGGCAAAAAGGGACAAAAACACCACGTGATTTTATCTTGTATTTGTCAGTCCATTTGCTGTTGTAGCTATATTTAAAAGTATAAACTAAATTAATGCAATAGTTTGATATTTTGAAATACAAAGTTGTTTATCTAGGTGAAAACAGCAGTTTTTTTATTACCTATTAATATTAGGATAACCTTAGAAACAGCTTGCCTAAGACAGTTTTAGCCATCAAAATCTGTCCAAAGTGTCTCTAAAAATCACTTAAAGGAAACTCTTTCTCATTCAACAAAACCAGATGAGCTGTTTCACACCATTTCTATTCCTTAAGCAAGGCTTTATATGAAACAGACAAATTTGTGTAATCACATTGTAACAATATGAAAAAAAAGTATAATGCTTTACAACATTCAATTCTATTATATTGGTTTTGTCATACAAGATAAAGTCACTCAGCTCACTTTAATCAGAATAGATTGAAATTGAACATTTACAAGGCAGCCTCACTACCCACTATTCACAGAAATATCAAAACTCAGAAGAGAGCTTGACATTTGCCTCAACCTAATAAGACCAACTGAACCATGAGATGAACCGCAGCTTCTAAAAAACGGTCAGCTTCTAAGAAAAATATTTAACTCCCCAAAAATGTACTTCAAAAACTAAATTCATAGTGTGGATAAAAGCATTTCACCTCTTGTCATAGTTCAGATGGGATTTTTTTTTTGTGATTTTAATTTTTTGTGGTTTTTAATTTTAAGGCACAAGTCAAGCTCAAAGAAAACACTCTTTTAGGGCGGGGAGGGGGTGGAGGGGGGTGAGGGGGGGGTCACAGAGGTGTACCTGTCATCTTCAGGGGAAGCATGCTGAATAAGAATCCTGGGACTTGCAGGACGTCTTCGGGGCAGAGAACGGGGAAAAAAGATTTTGTATATGTACACATGCAAAATATGTCACCCATTTGACAAAGTTCAGGAGCTGTTCTGTTATTTGTTACAAAAAAAAAAAAATCTATTCATAGCACGGTTACCCAATTAGTTAGACCCTTTTATGGCCAAAGAAGCTGTAAGGTAAAATTGTAACACTATTTGTTCATAACACTTATGTTGCTAACCTGTTAAACCTGAAAACCAACAGAAGTTTAGTGTTCACACCCCCTGGTTTTCAATACTTCCAAGGAGAAGTAACCAGAGCTTTTTTCTATTTTTAAAGAAACATATTATATGTTTGTGTCATTTACATTTAGGATAGTTGATGCCACAAGAAGAGACATTTAACCTTCATGATACTTAATGAAGTGCCCAACGGACCAAAATGACAAAGTAGCCATTGACAGCGTCGTAAATTCCACAGCCAGCAAAGACAAAACGAAGGCATGTGATGAACATTTCTATCAGTATAGGCTGAAATTAAAATATTACGTCCATACAGAGTGGAATAAATCAAAAACAATTACCTCTGCACCCATCACAGCTTTTTTTGGCAATGATTATAATGGAATTAAAAATAATGCTCGCAAGTTGACTTGAGGGGTGATTGTAACTCAATTGCAATTTAGCACAATGTTTTAAAAATTTTTGGGTAAACACAAATGCTCCGAGTTTCACAGATACTTTTTCTAGAAATCTCTTCACCCTGATAACTTTAAAAGGCCGTGAATGTGAATGTGCAGTGATGGCAGAGTTGTGCAAAACGCTGTGGGACGAGTTAGAGGGGGAAAGTTACAGATTCGGTTTGGCTGTATGATGAAACACAAGAAGTGGGAACTACAAAGACCGGGTGATGTCGACGACAAGAAACTATAAGAGGACTACAGGAAAAAAGGGGGAGGGTACAGAGGCTGGTACCTTTCAGTCTCTGGTGAGGGGGCATGATTGTCTGGAGTCAGACAGTTGACGCTAGCACTCCTAACCCTGTCCAGAGAAGGCTGCAGATCACTAGATGCACCACAGCACAACATGCCATCCAATGGAGGAAGAGAGGGAGGAGAGGAAGAAGAGACAGGAAGACAGAAACAAACACAAAGAGAAACAATGGACAAACAGAATTTGTTTTCGTTTTTGAAAAATTTCTATAGCCCTGTATGTTATTTTGTACACTAAACCATGACTAGCATCATGATGCTGTCATGGTTATCATGAGGATGGAATAAGGTGAAAAATGTCTAAACCCTTACATCCCTACATCTACTACATTGAGTAAAAAAATGCAAACTGTGTGAGTGTTTGTGTCTTACCACAGGGTGACCTCACCAGTGAACGTTAAAATGCGGTGTGTAATAGCAACTTGTTACTACGGCCAATAGCATGACAAAGTTCGTATTTTCACATGAACGCAGCATGTATCTGGTCACAAAAAGCATGCAAAATATACCATCCATTGTTGCTACTCTGATATACTCACATGAAATTAAATTCGCAGTCTTCTGAGTGTAAGGTAAAGAAAAGCCCACACCGTCCCTAATGTGTAAAGGCCTCAGTATGCTTCAAATAAAGAGTTTGTAAAGTCATTCAATAGTGTTCTCAATTCAGAGGTGCTGAATCCTGTTACATTTTGACCTAATATATCCATATTATGCAGGTGTAGCAAGACACTTTAACTCTCAAGCTGGTCCTATTCAACTTTGCCAACATTTTTAACGTGTTTAATTAGAGTGTTTTACATCCTTTACTGCTTTATCGATTATCATAATTTGTAAAATTCAAAATCAAAAACGTTGGGTTCGGATGGGAAATGTTGATTATAAAGAAAAATCATTACCATTGCAATGTTTTTTCTGCATCGGTTTTGGCTTGTAGTTTAGGTCTACGCACAAGCTCAAACACAGAAATCTGTTATCTTCTGTCTGCCATCATTTTAAAATTTTAAGTCTTTTAATCTTGTTTTGCTTTGTCATGTCTAATCTAAAATACTGTCACAGTTCAATCACAAATTACATATAATTCTGTAATTATACCTCTATAACAGTCATCTACTTGCATGGTACTTTTTTAGCACAATCTGCCTTTTAAGACTCCAGCAGGTGTCCGATCCTATTCATTCATTTGTATAATCACTCAACAAAAATATATTTAATTGTAATCACCATAACAAATTATTTCAATGTCAACTATTACACATAGATTTATTTTGATTTATTCTAACATGATCCCTGCTTAATTTGTTATTTTTACTTTTCAGTTAAAATGGATACAATGAACAATGAAAATGACCCTATTGACGAAGGATTTTTGTGAGAAAACTTCAAGCCATAAAGTGCACAAATATTTGGTAAGATCTGTACAATAAAGCCTTATGTTAATCTTCCAAGAGGAAGAGTCAACTTCTTTGGGCATTTGGGGTGAACATTGACAGTTTCAGTGTTCAAGATTGTTTTTAGAACCCATGGACAGCATGCCATCTGGACCAAAGGCATAAAGTCCCATCTAAATTGACTTGGGGGTTGTATTAGTGTTTTAGACAAAGCAAACTCATGTGATGCCATCACGGATGTGCACTGAGCTGTCCAAATAATCAGTTGAGAGTTCTAAGTCAACATTGCAGCAAACGCATTCAACGCACATTACACAGGCGTGGCGGCGGGCACCGCTGGGGCTTTTACGACACGCCAATCTGTTTCAAACAGTGAATGTGCGAAGAATTCTCAAATGGAAAAAGCCAAACAACCCCTCTCCGTTGCACACAAAATGATTGTCTATCAACATCTTAAATAAATTTGATGAGGAAAAGGCATCTTGGATTTGCACATAAAATATAGTATACATAAGTATATGTATACATAAAGTATAGAAATAAAAATAAATATAAAAATACAAAAACATAAGTATACATAAAATACTAATTAAATTAGAATGGGATTACTGAAGATATTTTTCACATTTTCTTCACCCTCTACAAGGCTATAACAGCTTTCACAAAAGAAAAGAAGATTCTGTGTGTATTTTTAGCCTTGGATTAAATTTCATAATTGTCTGAATTAATTATACAGTAATTATCACTTCATTAGATTGAATTTTTTGTTACGTATTACTTCATTAACTGGACAGGTTTGAAGCCTGTTAGATTGGATTGTAAGGTGAAGGGATAAACTTGACTGCATATGTTCTTTCATTCACAAAAACCTATACGGTAATATAAATAACCAAGTTTGCAAATTGACTGCCACTAACAGCAGGAAGAAGTTAAAGAGGACACAGTTGCGAGCTAATAATGCAAATGAAAGTTTGAAATAATCCATCTCTACTTACAGAGTCCACTGTGATGACTTCAGCATCAAACAATGTTAACTGAGACTCATTTGTATTTCATCATTTTGACCTATCAATTATTTCACGATATTTATGAAATAAATGTTACCTACAAATAAAGTTAAGATGAAACTACTTATAAGCCACAAGAATGTTGGAGCAGTCTCATTTGGTGTTACAAAGACTGACACTAGGAGCATTATTGTAATTTGGAAAAACTGAAAGCCAAAATATATGATAAGGAAATGGGAGCACTTTATTTATGAAGTATAATATTTTTTTATTATTTTGAAGTATACTGAATCCATATCTAAAGACTTACCTGTTTGTCATTTTGTGTGTGCTCTGTGTATATAATTGTGTCTCGTAGATCTCCTGATGCATGCATGTAGCAGGCACAATTGGGAAATTAAAGGAGTTGGTAGAAGAGGACAGAAAATAAAAAGGGGATGGGAGTTCTTTCACAATAGACGTGAAGGTTCCACTGAGCAAAAGCAGTGCCCACTTATCCAGTGATTTCATTTACCACCATTTAGCTCCCCTAAAGGTGACTTTATCTTGCAACTTTATCAAATGTGATTATGAAAAAAAAACAGAGCACCCCATAACAGAGGGATGGATCTTACAAGTCAATATCAATGTATTTAAATTTTATCCAGACACCTGTATGTCCTTGTAGAGAGTTCAAATCACTGGCTAAGGTTGTAGGTTTTTGGAGTGTACGCACGCTGAGCTGTGGCAATACTGGACAAAACGCACACGCGTGACGAAGCTGACTCCGACCTCTATTATACGTTTTCCCCCTCAAAAACATCTATGTGTTTTCAAAGAACATAATTAGGGGTGTGTTACAGCTTTTATCCTGGTCAAGTGAAACACACAGATGTATTCTGAAGAGTGCAACTTACCTCTCAGGCTATGTGCTCAAGTAGCAATCTGAGACCCACGTGGATATGACCACAGTATGTGTGATGTGTAACAATCGCTAGAAAAATGTATATTTTTTACGCTCATACTGCATAGAAATATGTGAACAGAGGACATGATGTCAGAACGGATTTCAATCACTTGCCTTCACTAACACTGAGCAAATACTCTACGTTGATTTGAGCTCTCAAACATTTGTCATAGACCGGCAATCTCATCACGGACCTGTAGTGGCCTCTTGTGGACCTAGAGTAACAGTACATCTGAAAAGCTCTCCAATAATTTCTTCCATAAGAAAATATGCTGTTTTCTGTTTGTCAGTGTAGCCTCTAATTCATGGTGACTGCATTTTCAATTTGAAATTTAAAGTTTTTTTTTCTTTTTTGTAGAAGCTTACTAATGGCACTGTTATACCATATTACTAAAAGTTAACTTCGTCAAAGCTTTACCTACTTGCCAAGTGGGGTAAAACTCACAGCCTGAATGAATTTACATGAATATTTTCAGTTATAACCGCAGCACCACTCTAAATTATAATGTCAGTCTCCACAGTTTTTCTCAGAAAGAAAGTCAGATTAAACACTTAGCATTTCAGACTTTACCTCATCCAGAAAAAGAAAAAACGTCATGACAGGCCAGTTTACCTGGTGTGCAGGCACTCAGCACTTTTGCCTCGCATTGACTGGTGGATCATGATGACCTCACTGTGGTTACCATGGGATGGATGACACATGAGGGATATCAACAACAGTAAAAAAAAAACACAAGAGCAGAGGAAGAAGAAGAAGAAGAGAGTGAATAGGAAAGAGAAGTCGTTGCTTACATCCACACACGCATACGTACACGTTCAGAAATTGCAGATCTTTTTCGGCCAAAGCTTTTGTTAAATCACAGCTATGAAGTCACCGCATACAACATCACAACCGGCCTGTAGCCGGGGCACCAAACGCTTTAAAGATACAAAGAAAACTGGCACAGAAAAGGGAGGTTTGCTCAAACAAAGGCCACGGAAAAAAACATACAATCAAAAAAAGGGAAAATAACAAAGAAAAAAAACTTCAAAAGCATTCGTACGTCTCCCATTTTCCACACACACCCTTCTGAAGCTGATGCAGCAAAAAACTGTAGCTTCACACCACAAAAAAGCAAGTACTCAAGAGGACACTGTGCTCTCCGATTACATTAAACCTGACCCAGTGGTCACAGGCAAGTTTTCGGTGACTGCGCACGGACACACACCTGTCGTCCAGGTACTCATCCCCTTGATGACGACCTCTTCCAGCTTCGTAGTAACGCGCTGGAGAGCGGGAACGCCGGGAATGAGAGAGCTCATCATCCAGACTCCTTTAAAAGGCAGACAGACAAACAGACAGTCTTGTTTAGCGGTTAGATGGCAGAGCGACAGCCTTTTTGGAGGGGCCCGTTCGACTCGGTCAATTACATCTGCCCGCACTCAGTGTTCTGGATCACACTGCCACATCATTAGTAGATAGACTAGGTTCTACAAGCTTCAAATAATCTGATGTTCTATCTATTTATGTGTCCTCTTACAACTGGATAGTCCTCACGCTAGGTCTGACGCTGGTCTTTTAGGAGCACTGATCATCAATGCAGTCCAGATAAAGGCATTTAGCCACATTTTAGGATAAACTGACCTTTGAGTGGGTATGTTGGGTGGCCGTGACCGGGTGCGTCCCTGCTCCTCTCGGTGTGGGGACACTGAACGTGAACGGATGTGATGGGAGGGCGTGCGCTGCTGCTCGGGCACCTCGAGGGTGGACGCGGATTCCCGCTGCCTCTCCCTGCCACGCCCATCTGCTGCGGGGGATCGAATGGTGACGCACATGTACGCAGACACAAAAAAACAAAACAAAAGCAAATGATCCTAAATGATCCAAATGCAACAATAGTACAGTATTAGGTCACCGGTCAGATAACTGATTAAAGTGACTCTTTGTCAGCAGCTCAAACTACTACCAATAATAAAGTGTTAATAAACTATTAACTATTTTAGGTACACTGAAGCAAATAAATATTATAAACATTCCCTATGATATTTTCAGATTATGAACCAGGTTTGAACTTTGTATTTTGTCCCAAACGATACAAGATAACAACTATGATCAAAAGTAGAAAAAACGAGTGGACCCTTAAGAAGCTAAACTCATTAATGACTTTAAAAAAAAAAGTCACATCTGTTTCATTAGATCAAGCACAAATGATGCTGAAGTATGCACATACTACTACAGAGCCTGGTAATTATGAATACACTGTTATGACAACCAGAGGACAGAAACTATGGCTGTTGGAAATTATTACACTAATAATAGAACCACAGCTGGGAGCTTTTAATTACTGTCTCCTGTATTTTCACAAGTGTAAAAAAAAAAGAAAGACGTGTGAAGATAAAAATAAAAATAGAAAGACCGATCTGCCTTCAAGTTATCCGTGTGGCCGCGTCTATCTTTGTTGTGTTTCCAGCTTTACTGGCTTCTTTTCTAAGAGAAAAGCCTTTCAAAGCTACACACGGTGGGCTCTGGGTTTAAAAAGTCTAGCTCTGGTTTTCGTTTTGCCTACTCCACACAGTATACCTGTTTTTGATTTTAGTTTTACTAATCTGAATGTATTGACAGGATGTGACAAAGTAAGTTGAGGATATTGTCTATATTGGACTGTTGTAAGGGTAGCCCATTAGAGAGAGTCAGTACTTAAAAAATATAACAGCATTTGAGTGCAGTTGGGTGTTTCGCATTTCATTAAACACATTAGTTTCAGGGTAAAATATGTACTACAAAATGTAAAAATTTAGATAAAGCCAACCCTGTAACAAAAAAAAAAAAAAACTCAATTTAGGTTGCGTTCATTTGCCAGTTCGGTAAAAAGAGTAAGACAGGTGCTAGGCTGATTGCCTAATTTAAACAACTTCTTTCTGTTTCGACTATTAGAATACTACATCCAGGCCAAGACAAGTTGTGTTACAATAGTGCCCCTTGCTGGTTCTATCGAAAATAGACACATTTTTCAAGGTAAAAGGTTGATGACAGGTTGATAAATAGAAACCAGACTAGCTTACGTGTTGTGTCCATCTTCATTTAAAAAATAGTCAAACTTTAGTCCGATATCTCAATAGCAACAGTGTATTCTAATGTTTTAATATCAACATTTGGCATTAGAAACACTGATATTATTCTTTAGAAGGTTAAAAGTTGAAGCAGCTCTAAACTAGAACTAAGAGCAGCTACACACTAGCACCTGGTTGAAAATGGGTCAATGAGACTCATTACCAAAGAAGAATGATGTCTGACTTGAGAATGGGGTTAGATAGTATCAATGTGTTACCACCAAGTTGATTTATCTGAAGTCTTTTTTCAGGCAAGAGGAGCATAGTCTACAATTTATAGTTCTTTGTGTCACTTCTTGGTTAAAATGTAAAACGAAAAAAGAAAACGTTACTGGCTGCGAATAGAAAACAAAAGTTACTAAAAAAAATCTTTTAAAAAAATCAGGGCACACTGGACATAATGCTACAAAACAGTCCCCACCCACCTTTAGATATTACAGGTGTACCCTCATCAAATTCAGGCTCTGTTACATGCTGAGAACCTAAATGGTCAAAACAACAAACACACACACAGAAATGCATAGGGCGCATATACACCAGACATAAAAACGTAGAGAAAATCAGACATCTAAGTGCAAAAAAAAACAGACATTTGTAATGACATAAAGTTCATGTAACACTAAGAATGCTCGATTAACATCAACTCGCCTTGCCGACAGAGATAAAATGTACATATACTCATGTACACATATGTGCTGGGGACAGGAACAAACACATACAATAACACACAACTGAGGCCGGCCGTAGGCTCGAACTTACGCTGCAGTTTCTTTCCGGGGGCATCTGTGTTTGCGTGGCGTCGGGGCAGGTAGGGGGATGGCCGTGGCAGCGGGATGGATGAGACATCGTGGGTTTGGAGCGGATACCAATGAGGCTTGTCGTCCAGTAAGGCGGTCTCTAGCTCTATCAGAATCTGTTTGGGGTAAAAACCGTAGCATTACAAGAAAAAAATGGCTTTGCTGCTAATTCAAAAATGTGCACAGACCATGTATGAGTTGCTCATGCATCAGATGAACGGATAAGACAAAATTATCTCTTTACAAACAGCTTAGATTCATAGCAAACATGATAACTTACATATACATATACATACAATAACAATAAAAAATAACATCAAGCCTATGAGAGTGCTAAGAAAGCACAGATGTGATCCCAGTGACCAGGCAGGACAAATAACGACAAATGAACTGGTGGAGTACCTCTCCCATAAAGGTGCTGTTCTCCTCTGGCGACCTCGGTTGATCCCACACGGTCAGCTCCAGCATGTGGTTGCGGAAATCCCTTCGATTGATGTGAGTGTAGAAAAACGTCTGGTTCCACTTTGGCTCGCAGGTTTTCTTCATGGTTTTTGTCCTTCGCTTGCTTTTGTCGCTGTGTAAAACGTTGACATAAGTGATGAGGACGTCGAACATGGCAATTTCAAATGCGTCTGTTTACCTTAAGATTTAGTTGATCACACAAAGTACTGTATAAATATACAATGTGTCAATTTTTTTTCATAAAAACTCACTTTAATCTATCCACATCCATTTTGGCATTTCAGGTGAAAGACACATTTCTCAAAAAGTCAGAATCATGAGAATCTAGAATTAGTAACTGGGTGAAAAATAACTATAACAATGAAATTCCAAACACAGAATGTCAACAAGTATAATCATAACTAGGAACTAAAGTAGTGTCCATGAAAGACAATCATATAAAAGAATAAAAGAATAAAATAGGACTCTATTTTACCTCACGTTGAATTTCAATATCAAATTCAGAAGAATCTTGCATTTTGGGATATACACATTAAAAAGTATATTGTGGTCAGAACTATTAGTCAAGATCTTCCTTTGGAAGAAATATAAACATTATTTATAGTGATGGCCTAATCATTAAAGAGAATGTGTTTATTATAAGTTATCTTCATTAGGGTCCATGTCTCTTGAAAGAACAAAGAAAACTACCACTACCTTTATAAAGGTGTAGCGTGCACCTCTGTCCCATGATTAATGGTAATGGTATAGGATTATTTTTAGGGGATGTTTCAGAGAGTAGTGCGGGAAATATCTTGACCTGTTGCAAAACTTGCAACAAAAACTAAACAAAATTGCAAATGAGACAAATGAAGTCTTGTTCGGATGATTTTCCAGCTTTTTCTGAGAGATTTACTCTAGCACTACAAGCACTACAACATGATAAGCTTTGTCTGTTTTTTTTTTTGCATAAACTTCTTATTACTGACTGGCTAGCCTACCTGCGGTCAGGGAGGAAGTACATTTTGACATATGGGCTCCTGGGCCGCCCATCAGGCCGAAGAGGAAGCTCCATTGCTTGCAGCACGTTAACGATTAGCTGGTGACCGACTTTGTCGTACCACAGCTTCACCTGGAAGACAGTTGCACACGCCCATCTGATGCCAAGTGTTGGTTTTAACACACCCAAAATCGTCCGAAGCTGCAAAAGTGCGCACGCTTACTGAGAGTTGGCCGGGCATTTGCTGTGGAGCGTCTCGGAGCATCCCAGGACTGGAGGGAGATAGGACATTTAAGGATGGCCTCTCCATCTTCTGGGACTCAAAAGAACTGGAACCTGCTGTGAGAAAACGAAATGTTTGAAGTCCAACCAAGTGAATGTCAGCTCAGATATACATATAATTTTAATATCGAAACAAATTTACTAAATCCAAACTTGTTTATACGTTTAATAATCTACACCCAGTTTCTTGATTATATGAAAAATATGATAGATAGATAGATAGATAGATAGATAGATAGATAGATAGATAGATAGAGATAACATTTAGAATCACATTATTACCAATTCATATTTCCAAAAGTTTTGTGCAATAGGTAGGTTTTTCCATTAAAGTAAAGTACTGATGGAGTTTAACAACACTTCAGTTACAGGTGAGACTTGTGATAACATTTACTCTAATATCTTTTATCAAATTCCAGTTTGCTTTATTGTGTTGTTTTATTTTTCCAAATTCAAGTCGTCTAATAACTTAACTTAACACTTAACAATTAACTTTGACAGGTGAACAACGCTATGGTTACCTCTACTTACAAAGGGCTAAAAGGAATCTAAACCATAAAATAAACACACCTAAGAAAAAATAATAACCATTTAAATGTATGCATAGTTGTAAATATTTCCACTTTGTCAGTTTTGTGTTTCACCTCTTTACTTAGGGATCAGGCCTGTGTAAATCAGTTGGCTTTGCACTGTCCTCACACAAATGATGACTGTTTTGCAACACAAAGGTTTTTGGGTTGGGCAAAGTTAAAAGAAATGTAAAAAAGTTCAAATAAGGGGGAAAAAAAATTTACAATTAAATTTTTTGAGCTTGCTTTGCTTTTCCTCACTCCACTGTAGAAAAACCTTTACATGCTGTTCTTAATAATGTTGTTTCAATTCAGTTAAAAATTGTGGGCATTTCTTTTCTTTTTCGAAAATTATGCAGGAAATTTTCTTAAAGGTTTGAGATCACTGCCCTGTTGCATGAGCCATTTTTGACAGATGGCCGCAGATTTAACATTGAAAAGTTTATGATCATCAGAGTGCCCGGTTTGTGTCCGGGTCCCGTTTAAATTTACGTAATGGTAAATTAACTAATTGACATACAATTAGCCGGACACACGTGACAGATTCCTTAAAGACATTTCAGATTTGATACTTACTAGATTCTAATGGAGGGTGGGACGTGTCGGGGATTCTTGGGATATCACTGAAAAAGAAGCCACAACAGCAGAATTAATGTTTGCAGCTGAGTCGAATGAAACAACAGAGTAAAAAAACAAAGCAAAAAGGCATGCATGCATATCAATTTAGATATGGCTGTTATCGCAAGACAAAGCAGTACTGTATTCAAAGTTTTTGGGATGTGTGAGTGAAAAAACCATGTGATTAAAACTCATGGGGAAGCAAAGGAAGATGTGAGTGATGCTCTTTATCATGGCTGCAGTGTTTCTAAGACATATTTGCACGTTTTCTGGGGGCCAAATAATGAGGTGGAATAATGATGGATGAAAGCTCAAACGTGTTTACATCGCTATTTTTTTTCCCACCATCTAGGAGGAAAAACCAGAATCCACCGCAGAGATTGGATCTGAAATAACGAAAGTTCGGCAATCTGTGCCACACTTATCAGGGTCATTTGCTATCTGAACTTTAATAATAAAAAAGTACAGGTCTTTTCTTCTTATTGCACTTTGAATAGCTCAAAAGGAACTTTTGTTTGAAGTTCTTTTGATTATCCACGTGTAAATAAAATACTACTATTTCATATTTTCATTGAAAATACATTTCAGAAAAGGTCTATACTAGAAAATGTATGTTACTGAATTATCTTTGCATTAATAAGATAGAGTCTTGACAGTTAGCCTTGTTAGCTCTTATTTACAATAACATTAAAGAAATGAAAGAAACAAGGCCGAATACCAGCCCAAACTCCCACTCCCAACTTAATAAGTTTCATATTTCAGTCTTGGAAAGAAAGCAAATGAGCATTTGTACTTGACTTTCGGGTCTTTTTACTTGTTGATTTTAAGCTCAAACGTTAAACTGATAAGTGGTTTGCAGACAACAGGTTGCCTAGGAGCTCATTCCAAAAAAAACCAACAACATCAATATGTAAATGAAACTAAATAAAACAGCTTGCTTTATGAGTCCCAAAGTGATAGTGTTAATAGATAAGGTTACAAAGAGAGGTAAGTAATGCATTAAATTTGAGGATCGTCACTTTTTACAGCGCAGAAACTGTAAAAGCTAGCAAAAGCGTTTCAATGATGGATGTTTGCCAGCTGCCATTTTGCATCCCATCAGGTGAACTTGCAGTTTATCTGAGTTGGAAGCTATTGTGACAAAAGTGTTTTTTATCAATTGGCATCCTTACAAAATGTAATCAAGCCAGTCCATTAAGAAACACAAAATGGCATCAATAAAGCCAAAGAATTCTTTCTTTTTTTTGTTTCCTTTTTGGTGATAAGTTTAGAGAACAGTTTACTTACTGATATTTTCTATACACCCTTCGCGAGTGTTTGGAGAGAAATTCATACGTTCAACTTTTTTCCCATCAGTTAACATATAAGGCAAAATGACACAGCTGCAATGAGTGTATGCTGTCAAATATGTGTACTTCACTAAACATCTGAAGTAAAATCAGTATTAGACCCAGCCCGAAAAGAAAGATTAATCAGTATACAAGTTCTCATTTTAAGTGCTTGATGAATTCCTTCCAATTTATGATTTGTGCCTACAGCTCCAAAGACAGGACAAAGCAGGTCAGCTGAACTGCAAAAATGTGAGGTTTACTTTCCCTACATTTAAAAAGAATGATGAATTAATATCATTATACATGATTCATTAATATTAAGAGGTAAGCCCTTCCAAAGGACATGTCTTGTATTAATCACACTAAATGACACTTTGCTTTTATTGACAACATATGAAAAATAATTTTGCAAAATGTTAGATGACATATTCATAAAGTTAAACACTACCATATTAAAATATATGAACAGATCTTGATTGAAAATTGAAAAAGTATCTTGAGTGGATACTTTTCTGCAATGTATGTATTCAAGGTTTTGACATATAAAATCCATTATTCAAATAAACTTGAAGCTAAGAATTCCATTGAACTTCCAAAAACCTCCAAGTAAAGCATTATTTCATTTTAGATATTCAAAATTAAATATACTCAGGTCGACTGAGAAAGAAAAAGATAATAACAAACCAAACTCCATGAAGTTATAGGAATATCTGTATAACGATTCCTTTTCAATTAAATTCAATCCATTAAAAAAAACTGTACTTTATTTATTTCAGAGGGAAATTAAATGTTACTCATTTAATCAAGGTGTTATTTTAGATTGTGATTGCTGTGGTCAGGAAAGATCTTCTGTAGGTCCATTAACTAATCTGAAGAAGCCTCTGACTCAAGAGTTTGTTTTCCATAATGTTCTTGATTTTTTGTTAAATCCTTCTTCGCATCTTAATAATATTTTCATGTAATTATCAAATGATTATTAACTATTTTCAATCAATGCATAGTCAAGTTTAAACCTCCACCACAACCAAGTATCTATTTGTATTTTTGTATTACGGTACTTAACTTCAGTTACTCTCATTAAAAGGTAAGTGAGGACTAAAACAGAATTATTGCTCAGGAACATCAGTTAATAAGCACTATAATCATTAATACTCCCTAAAGAGAGTAATAAAAAAATTCTCTTCAGACATTTTTAATACAACAGACCGTGTATGATACCTTCATGTGTTTTCATAGCCAGCCCAGTTGAATTTCTGACAAGACTTGTCAGTGTATCCCTTGTTTGTTTGTTTTTTAACAGAGCTTAAAGGCACTTTTATTAGGAAAACATCATTTCACCTTATATCAACCTACTAATCAATGCAAATGTTTCCTTTAAAGAGGACACGAGAGACAAAATGGAAATAGCCAATCTAAAAATTGGCAGAGGCTGGCTTTACAGCACGGTCAGAATACAAATATGTGTCCCACCATCCACTCCTATTCTAATTCAGCCAAGTCTGAGTCAGAGTCAATTGCCCAGTTAAATAAGGCTTAAATACATTGACATACAAAGTGGAAACTATGGCAGCTAAAGCTAAAGTGGTTGCATTTCACCTCAGTTATGGCTCTGACAGTGTGGACTACGTGTTTCATCCTGACTTACCCAATAGGCCTGGACACAACCAGTTCCACCTGAGGCTCAGCTTGAGATTCCAGGATGATGTTATAAACTTCCTTCATCGTTGCCCCCGGTAACAGCTTCCCATTCCATTGCAAAACTTCATCCCCTGAAATCAGATATCCACATGTCTGATTGAGTTCTTTTTACGGCAACTTTCTGAATTCCACAGGCAGGAAATGCCACAAAAGTTTAGCTAACTAACCCAAAAAAAGAATTGGTGCCAAATCAATACACAAAATAGCATTTAAAAATCAAATCATTTTAAAAAAAATCTGTAAAGACTTGGTCATTTCTCTGTTTTGTAGCACTACGAAAGTTAAAGGTTTGTTTGCACTAGTGGCCTTTATTGACAGTGGTATGACAGGATAGGGGGGCAGTTAGAAAGGGGGAAGTATCATATAGTCTGCTTAATGGCAGCCCTGTTCTATCTTTTGAATTCTTCTTTTACATTGAATGAGAAAATCTACAATACAATACAAAAAGGTAGTAAAATGCATATATTTTCTTGGATTTTCCAGACTGCATGAGCCAATATTCATTAGAAAATTACTTGATTCATAAGCGAAAATATATTTAAATAAGAAATTACCTGCTCTGAGATGTCCAACTATATCCGCCAAGCTTCCTTTCTTGACTTTGGTGATGAAGGCACCTAATCTCCCTGACTCTGTTACTCTTCCACCCACCACCTAATGAGCGACAGAAAGACAGTGAGAGGTGAGTTGTTAGGGAACATCTTTCATAAGAAACGGAGGCAACACTTGCTAAATTTATCAAATTTTAAACAAAAAAAAGGAGGATAAACATTTCTTTTTGACCCCTGACCTTTAACCCGAGCAATGCCCCGGCTTCCTTAGGCATGGTGGCGCTCCTCTTGCTGAGAGTGATTCGTCCAATCAGATGGTCTCCCTCTTTTGACGGCTGCCAGGTTACAGGATGCTGTCAGAGATGGTCATATGTAGCTGACAGTCATGAGACATTCTCTCAAAAATAGCAAATAACAAACAAATCAAAAATACAGTGAAACCAAAAGAATACAAAAAGGTGAAGAGAGTCTATTTCTAGTCAAGGTTTGGAGAGGCATGGGAATCTCGGTGATAACTCACTGGTAAATCGAAAGAGAAGATAAGCTTTTCACAATAAGGGTGAATTCCCTCGGGGCATGAAATACTTTTCTCCAGTTACGGAATATCAGGACAGGTGATGCAGACTGTGTGTGCTGCCATGTCAGGTAACTAGAAGCAAAACTAGTCAAACAAGGCGTTTCGTGGTATCTTTGTGGGACAAATTACTGTGGCTTTTGGGTGCCTAAAATAAATTCCCATGCTCTCTTTTTTTTCAGCCCCTCGAGGGTTGACATTTCAATCTGCAGGCTTGCTGTGGATTTCCACATCAAATTCCAAACAAAAAGGGCAGCTCTTTTCCAGCCTTTCCATGTCTAGTTCCAACCCACTTTTTTAATTACAAAGGTTCGCCGCAAACTCTGCTAATAACAGCAAATGTGAATGTATGAGAGAAATTCGATAACATTCTTTTTAATGTTTCATAGCTCACTTAGAAAAATCAGAATTCCAAATTACATTCATTTCATGTTTCTCCAGTCAGACGTAGGGAATTCTGATGTCCCTTTTAAATGTATTTCCATTTTAATCCAATTTAAAGGGATTAAATTGGTATTGCTGAGATTAACTTAATTTTGGTTTTATTTATTTTTTTAAAAAGGTCCAAAAAAATAGATAAAAATAGCTATTTCTTTTAATCTTATACTACAAATCTAGAAACCCCAAAAAACCACAATGAAACTCAGGTTTTCTGGATACGGGAAATTATCAGTTTTGACTGGCGTAATCATTGACTTGCTAGCCCATTCATTGTCTGGTTAGGCTGTTCAACAGCTGAAGCCACTTCAGAATAAGAGTATCGGTGACACACTTTGTGTCAGTTTGGTACACCGCAGTCTGAGGTGAGTTTTGTAATTGTGAGCTCTCTGGCTGTTTACTATAACCTTTTGCAATTCAGTAAAAATGTGCTTCAAGAGGTAATTACTACAACCAAACATGCTAAGCACTAAAACTGGCAGGTACATAAATCAGGATTGAGTTTGCTTTTAGGGTGACAGCTGTCGCACCATCTTTCTGTGGTAACAGTGTCAGCTTGTGGCACAAAGAAAATATCCATCCATCCATTTTCTGAGCCGCTTATTCCCTGATGGGGTCGCGGGGGGACTGGAGCCTATCCCAGTGGTCAATGGCCGAGAGGCATGGTCACACCCTGGACGGTTCACCAGTCCATCGCAGGGCCGCACAGAGACACACAAGGACAAACAACCACGCACACTCACATTTACTCCTAAGGGCAATTTGGAATGTCCAATCAACCTGACATGCAGGTTTTTGGACGGTGGGAAGAGGCCGGAGAACCCGGAGAGAACCCAGGCAGACACAGGGAGAACATGACAAAGAAAATGTTTCTACTTTAATGCAAAACACAAAAAATTACGATTGTTAATTTGGTTTAATCATGACACCAACTGGGAACAGATAGTTGTTATTACTGTTACTGTTTACGATAAATTATTGATGATGCTTCTGCAACTGTGCCCGTCAGGCTGACTTACTGAATGAAAAACGGCACGAGTCCAAAGTCTGCACATTTGAACCTACATCTTTTTTGAGTCTAGTGTGCTAAGTATTCTCTCTAAAATAAGCACCTGTGCTCATCTTCTGCACTTTGTTTTCTTTGTCCGGTAAGGTTTTTATTTTGTTTGTTGCAAGCTACATTGAGCAAACACACACAAAGTCGGTGGGCTCCATCACTAGGGTCAGCGGTCCCTTGGTGGATAAAGATGACAAAAACTTCGGCACAAGTTGGCGAGCTGACTTCTGTGGAAAATTTCCACCCGGTAATTTTTCCCTGGCTGTTAGTGATCCTCCAAGGGGAATTCAGAGTAAAACCCAACTAGTCAACATGGTGGAATACAGCTAAAGCTTTACCAATGAGAAGTTTGAAAAGCGTAACTTGGTGCCAACATCTGACTTTAATTTTCATTTAAATTTATCTGGTGTGAACATGTGAGAATTTACCTAAATTTCCCTTTAATTACAAAAGGATTAATGTGGATCGAAGGTTGTAACATTTGGTAATTTTCTTGAAAGTAAATCTACCACTAACCAAATCGGACATGCTTGCTAACGCGATACATGGATATACTATCACTAATGTGCCATTTTAGTCATGAACACCTGGTGTTGGTTGTGGTGCTGGAGACACCAGGCCATGAGGCACCTTAACAAGGCCATGCTTGTACAAGTGGTCAGCTGTTTTACAGAAGTAGATTCTTTGGATTGGAGCTAAAGTTTAAAAAATGGGTCATCAAACTTCAACACAGACGTCAACTTACGAAATATAAAATAAGCAAACGTTCATACATTAACATATCTGACTGCACGCAACTACATGTAAGTCAGGTTTACATACTGTAAATAACAAGAATGTTGACATATATATTCATATTTTAAAATATCAGGACAGACCCGGATCTCCTTTGTACTTCCTTTTAGTCGTGTTTGGAGAAAACTTTGAGAAATGAAAATCGGTGACTTACATGCCATACAGTGGGGTCATGTGGGTAGCACTCCCAGTCGCCTGTAAGAGAAAAGAGACAACCTCACATACTACGGCAAAGAACCATCCGCGTTTGTAACCACACACATGCGCACATTGGTGTCGACAATGTGCGCACTGTATACACAACACATACCAGCCCCAAGTTCTCTCACACGCAGCTCCACCAAATTTAGGAGCTCTTCATAAGGCATTTGGTTCGCAGCGGGGAGGGTAAAGTTTACACAATATTTGCGCCTGAGCTATAATTAGAAATTTATCACCAAAGCAGCAGGACGCGGTTTAAAAAGAAGTGCAGGAAAGACTGCGGAAAAGACACCAAAGAGATGGCTGAGCCTCTTAAAAAGCCTTAAATCCCTTCCAGATACTTTACTGATTAGATGGTGTGGATTCACTCCAGGAGCAATACAGCAATGTCAGGCTGCTAAAAGCCTTGTGAAAATTAAGACTGAAGGGTCACTGTGAAGCCTCGCAACCGACAATGTTGTAGCATTTTCAAATATATATATATAAATATATCAGATTAAAATTATATAGATTTTAATGCTTTTCAGCCCATCAACCTTAACACTCAACTGCTAGTGAAAGTAAGGAAGATATTCAATTATTCGTTACAGTTAATGCATTTAAACTTGAAATGACACACTTAATCAATTTTCAGCCACTTCGGGAAGGGTTTTGGTTGCTGCACGACGTCAAGACAGATGTTGTGACATGTAGGAAAACAGAGCCAAGGTTTCCCGGAGGAGCTACGAGGGTGAAGAGATGTGACAAAATATAGGGGACGCTGTAATGTTGAATCCAAAGCTCTGCTTGATAGACAACACGGGTCTCAACCTCACAATTTGGCCGAGAGCACAACTCATTATGTGTTCCTGTAATTACACAGATGACAAAAAAAAAAAAAGATACCAGTGTGCAATCAGCGTGGGGTCGGGACAACCATGCGGGCCACAGCACCGAGGTGGTGTGAGTTTCCAAACACTACACTAGTACTTTGTACTTCCACACGTTTGGCTCCTTTTGCTTTTACTTTGACTAACCTTTGTGGGAGATTCTTTTTAGCTTGTGCGCACGTCTAAGTGTGAGTAGCTCTCTCGATAATGAATGTGTCATACTAAAACACGAAGAAAAAAAAAGAAAGAAAGCAAATAATACACTAGTGGTACAAAACAATTATTTCTGCAAATGAGGGCAATAACATTATAATAGCATAGTGTAACACTACTGTATTGTTAACCAACTAGGGCATTCACTATTTCTTCATTTTTTCCATGACTGAGTGTGGATGTCCTAAAAAAATAATTGTGGAAAAAAAAGTTAAACCTTAAAAACGAGCACAAAAGACTATTCTGGTGCCTGGACATAACACATGACGGACATTTGACAGACATTTAATTGGATCACCAATTAATATTCATAAGCTATTTATCTATGGTCTTGGCCTCAGTCATCCATCCTTAACTTATCATTCTCAACTAATATAATTTCTCTCACTTATTGAGAAGTGTTCACCAGGGTAAAACTGCTCTCCGTAGGTTCATATACTGGCAAACTGTACTCAAAACAAAGTGTCAAAGGGTTTAAGTGACTCAGTGTCAAAGTGCTCATGGGGGCAAAAGTATTTACTTATTTTATTTACTTATACCTCTACTCTGTAAAAGGAAGCATAGAGGGGATTTAAACGCTCATAAAAATGAGACTGAATCTGTCAACTGAACATTCACCTACTCCTTAACAGGATGTTTCCTACTTTTTAACATCTTTTAAACCAAACACATGAATGTGACTGCAAGAATCTGCAAGCAATATCAAATCATGTTGACTTGTTTAGTATCTATTATGTATTTTTTAAATACTTGTCATAATCTCACATAAGATTTTATTACCAAAGCTTCAGGTTAGTTAAGTTGTCAGCTTGATTTGGAAGCATATCCTCCGAACATTACCTTCAGATGATAGAAAAATGTTTTGTATTATCACAAACATTCTTAATTCACGATGGCAAAAAAACAACAACACACATATATATATATATATACACTTATTTGGTGATCCAAGTAAAAACACACGAGACTGTTCATAAAATCGGAATTAGAGAAATTTTACTTGTGTTTATCTTCTATAAACTAGTCCCTCCGGGCTAATAAAACGTATGCTTTAAGCTTTCTTATTACTTGACATTTTGACCCAGTTAAATGTTCACAAATGATCACTTATTGAGAGCTTTCTTATTTCTTGTGAAATTTTGACCCCGTTAAATGGTTCTCACTGCAGGTATAAGTAATATTGTGTTTTTCCTCCTTCCTTCTATTCTATTACAATGAAATTAGGTGGCGCTTTTAGGTGTATTTTGCCTTTATCAAAAGAGAAATCAACTGCTTTGTGCCTCTACTTTCAAACGCGAGTGTGCTTTTTTTTGCACTGATCTTAAGACGATTTCTGTGCCTGGATGCCTCTCAGCTGCCAGCAACTGACATGGTCTGAGTCTCATCTAATAAAGGAAACAGTGTCTCTCGGTAACAACAATGTGTTTAAAACTTAGCCTGACAGACTACTCATCTCAAACCCTACTTGATGTCCTTGTGTATGGTCAACAAATAACACACCTCGCTTAACCAATGTCAACTTTAACATTCTTAAACACAGTGTTTTTGTACTGGACTATGAATGTTGGGAATGCAATGGCGTGAATTGTTATATATAGTGAAGAGCAACTGGAAAAACAAGATGTTGATTTGGGAAAAAAGAAAACTTACTTTGTTTTTTGACAAAAAGGTAACCTTTTGTACAATTATAAAATTCAACAAATGTTTTAAACGCATCCACATCATGCAGGTGGTACAATAAGGATCCCCCTGTGGGCATGGGCAGAATCTATGTCATATTCCTTAACTGCTAAAAATTAATATGGAACTTCAGGCTGATGTTGGGTGACTGTTGGATTTCGACAGGTTTAGCCTCAGACTGAAAGTGTGTGGAGATGCGCTTTCTTGCAGGAACTTTAATTTTGAACTATAATATCATGACAACCATAGTGACAGATGCCATATTCACTTAGTAGGACTGTCAACTTGCTTAGTCCACTGGTTTCATAGTGTGAATGATTGCAGCAAATGTTTAATAAGACTGGACTGATGTCAGCAAAAGTTACTTATTATTTACTCATCATTAATATTTTTCTTTTTATGGTTAAGAGTGAAATAACCCAACCCAGCTTTAATGTGACTAAGTTCAGCTTGTGTGTTTTCAACCTAGGGGGCATAGACAGCTATGAGCGGTCAAACAAGGGAATAACAGGGGAACAACAAGTGCCACTTCACACACTGGCATGTACACACTTGTTGGTAGAGGGAAACTAATGCAGGAGAAATGGGCTGGGCTAAAACAAAACAAAAATAAAGACGCTGTAAAACAGTCAGATGGTAACACACTTGTTATGTGATTGGTGATGTTTCACGATAACAAGAGAGGTGAATAGTTTCGGCAAACGACAAAATGACGCAACACAGGTGCTCAGAAGTTGATAAGATGCTGACGCAGTTTAATGGTGTCATAGCTTGGTCAATAACACTTTAGATTAATATGCAAACTAACTTAAGAGCATGCACTATGTCCCTTAATAACCAGATGTCTTTGGACCAGCCTTATGTTTTGTGATCCATGAATATACAGTGATAAAGTAGAAAGAATTTGGGTGCGTTAATACTAGATCAATATGTCATTTAATCATTTGACTGGAAGGACAGTGGCTCAACTGTGTTTAATTATGGTCTTGACAGCATAAACAGCATAAACTACCGTGATGAAGTGTTGTGACAGATGAATAACTGACACATATATATATATTCAAATGACGGATGGCTAAAAAAGTACATGGACAAACAGTTATTTTCCACCCTGTTGAAATAGAAAAGTCGGGACTGATATTCTCTCACCTCTTTCGCTGACGCTTTCAATCTCAGCGTCTTCACAGCTGCTGTACTCCGGCGTGGTCCCTCCCTCCTCCTCTGAGCTGCTGACGCTGGTTTGCCTCTTCCCTCCCGCTCCCGGCCCCCGTTTGGACTTGTAGGGCCGCGGGGGAGGCGGCCGCAGGGATTCGGACTGGTCGGAGCTCAGCGAATCGTTGCGCAGCATGCTCTCCGCTTTATCGCGTTTGGTCCGTTTCACGCCGGGCCCCTGGCCGTTGGCCGAGCTCGGGCCTGAACCGGGAGGTTCTTTGAGGTCAGGGGGCGGGGCTTGCTGCAATAGAGTGCGTTCATGCGGCCCACCGACCCCACCCGCTGTCCTCTGTCCAGGTCGGGCAGCGCTCCCGACCTCCCCTGCATCCATCGCGCGATCTTTAGCGGGTACAGGCTGCCCCCTGCCTCCAGGAGGGAACGGCCCTGCTTGTCGAGGGGGAGCCCCACTGTGATCCATGTATTGATAACCCCCCTCCTCTGTCCGTCTCACGCCTCCTCCGATGGGATCGTGCTCCAGAGACCGTCCTTTCGCCAGGCGCCTGCTGTCCCTGCGCTCCCTGGAATCCCCCCGGAGGTCCCGATCCACAGACACCTGGGTTTGCAGCCTTGGCTGGCCTGACCTTCGCTCTCCCCGACTTGCTCCTCCACCTCCCTGCCCATTTCTCCTGAGAAGCAATGAAAAATGTGGAAAACAATCAGAAAAAAAAAACTTTTTTTTTTTTCTCCTACACTTATGATAAACATGGCTACTAACCATTCATGACCATTGTCGTCCCAAAAACCATGTTTTGATTCTGTAAATACTCAAGATTCAAATAAAAGATATGAAAAATCGCATGGCTTAATCATTATGTTTGTGAATTGTGAATTTCTTTTCACTGGTTGAAAAACAGAGTTTCAGAGTTTTTAAGTTAAAGTCAACAATAAGAGTAAGAGGAGATAAAAGGGCACAGTGGTTCTACCGTTTTATTTTTATTTGTATGACATATGGCCAGGTTTTTTCCAGTTTGGTGGTAACAAAATGAAAATAACTTTTTAAAATCGATCGATGGGCAAACGAGGTAAATGTTCTGTATCAAAAGACGTGGGCGTTTACAAAAAGCAAAGAAGATTTGGGGAGGACAAAATTGCATTGTGGGACTTGTAGGGTCCTGTGATTTTAGCAACTTAACAAGATTAATTTGTCTCCCAGAGCCATTTCCTGTTCTTTCCTGTGTTCAGGGAATTCTCCAGCTTCATAGAACCACGATACTGAACTTTTATCAACATAAAGAATAACCTACCTTTCTTTCAATACTGGGGGACAATCCATATGACTATGGATGAAACATTACTTTAAAATTACAATCAAACTAAACAAAAGGAGCCAAAGTTGTCATACATTCCATATCTGCAATTTTAATAGTTCTTTTTTGGCACGATCCCCAAAAGATCTTACTGGAAAGAACTGTGTTGGTTTCCCCCTTAGTCTTACGTTTCTCTCGGTGGCTCGCTAAGTGACCGGGAATCCGTGCCAAGTATGGCCCCGGGCGCACTCAGTCGGCTGGGGTCCTGGATGGCCGTGGTGGAGCCCGTGGGGGCTTGGGACCGAGACCGCTGCTTCTTATCCCCGGGCGTTTGGCACACGGACGGCTCGCTGACGGCCGAACCGAGGCCGGCGGGCTTCCCGGATGGACCGGTAAACCAGTCACCTGGCTTGGTCAGGATCTCCTGCTGCTTCCGGCAGTTATTGCAGACCCAAATCACCTGGAGGAGAAGAAACGCAAGCATTTCAAGTCATATTATTTATCAGCTACTAAAAAAAAGATCTGATGCCTTGTGATTTTACCTATGGGCATTTCCATATATTACTGGAGAAATGACTGCTTCTGGTGTCGGTATCACAACAAGGGGGTTTAGAAAGAATAGTTTATTCTTTACTTCTGCATGAAAACCATCTTTGCCAGTTATTGTTGCCAAATTCATCTGAAGCCAAGTTTCAGTGGCCATGACTGTCAGACGGGAAATGGAACAATGCGTTTCCTGAAGAGCTGCAGTTCTGCCAAAAAAGTCATTGAAAAAAAAAAAAAAAACTTTTATGGAAGTCTTTTAAGATCCACATCAGAGCTGTTATACCGGGGAGCAGCTTGGCTCCCACTGTGGGCCGCCTTTGGCCAAAAAAACAGGAGGAGCCCAAAGCCAACTGTTTGAATAAAGGACTTTTTGCTGTCCTCCGCAGTCTTTTCCTTCTTTTTGTGCCATCTCAGACATGACAGCTGACTGTATGTTGGCTGCAAACAGCATATTAGTGCCGAAGGTCAGAGAAAATTGGGAGCATATCGTCAAGTGACATATTAGTTAGCACACTTGTTATGTGATAACCAGCTTGAATGTTAAGCAACATAATGATTGGCTCCAAACAAGTGACAGTCACAATCATTCTATTAATGATTCTATTATATATGGAGCAGAAAATGAATTAATTAAACAATCTTTCACTATTTTTCCGTTTTTGAAACTCATCTCATGGATCTTGTGAAGTAAGATTGTGAAATTATAGCATTACGTATAACATATAGTAATAGTAACACATGGTGACTTTTTCTTCTTTTTCATTTGAAACAGGCGAAGCTTAACTCATTAACACCCAAATAACCATTTGAAAAAAATAAAAGAAAGCTATTTTGATAACTGAATTTCCTCTGAATCCTCAAATATGAAATATTATGCATTTGACATGTATATATAAATCAATATTTATTTTGGAGTATGAGCTTAAAGAATCATTGGATCGTCATTGAGGAACTATGAATTGTTTGCAAAAAACATATGTTTTGTCAAATTTATTTAAATATGTATGTGTGGTTGTCTTATTTAAATCTCCATTAACATAAACCTAGATGTACATGCATGAACCCTATTTACAGTAATTTTAAGACAGTTTTGGACAGCCAAAGGCATTTTTCTAATTAGCAATATGCATATAAAACACAATCTGCACAACAAATAGTTATAATAATTAAAGTAATAAGAAGCGTTCCTTTCAAAATGTAAAACTGAGACACTCATTAGTGAATGAGAGCAACTGTAACCTATTTTCTTCTAACAGAAGTCTCAGTTCTGGAATCAAAAGTGTAAAGAATGGAATACAGAGGTTCAAAACAAAAACTAAACTAAAATCCATGGGGTTGCAAACAATAAAAAGTGTGCATTGGTCCCCAACAGAGAGCATCACAGCCAGAAACTGATCTCTCTTTTAAAAGCCTCATTAATAAGATCATTCCAAGCCATAATGCACATTGGCAACAAACAACTACCCTCGAAGCTAACGCAATCGTATGAAAGGATCTTAATTGTTTAATCAACAACTATAAAGAATTTATAGAAAAAATAAACCCTTTGATCATATTCTGATGTTCAATCATACTGCCTCATTTCTTATTTCTATCTTTTGTTAGGATTTTGTCCTAATGATGTGTGTAAGTCTGATCTGTGAACCCACATGTAAGTTACAAGTGGGTTCTTTATTGCATCCATCCATTAGCGATACTGCTAGGTCTATGCATCTTGTTTTGTTCTGTTGTATATTTTATGAATCTGGCCTGACTTTTTGAGAGTCAGGCCAGATTCCTTAGTGTAAGGTAGGGTGAACAATACATGTTTGTCATCTTTATTTTTCAATTAAAGACCAAAAATGCATCTAGTTTGATTTAAATTAAGTTGTAGCCTTGTTTTATTGTTTATATACCATCTTCAGCTGCGATAATTGCTTTTTGTACGAGGTTTTAAAAGTCTCTTGGGTGGTTTTAGAGGAGTTTCGGCAGGCTCTTCTTCACAGTGATGCTCAAGATCACAGAAGTGCTTTTGCATTCATTTTTTCACAGCTGTCTAAGTGTCCCATCACATCATCACAATCAGGTGAGTCCGGACTTTGGTTTATTACATCGCCTCGATTCTCTACTTTTTCCAGATACTCGGCTATAGATTTGATTCTGTTTTTGGTTTCAAATTCTTGACTGCAACTGGTGTTCATTAGAACTAATTTATTCTCACATCCTACTAATGAAGATTAAGATGTTCACAATTTTATGCTCTAATCCATTCTTTCCGGTTAATCTGGCTTCCTCTCACCACCCAAAAGCATTCACGTTAGGGTAATGGGTTATTCCAAATTTACCTTAGGAGTGAGTGTGTGTGTGTTTGTGTATGCGAATGGTTTTTCTGTCTTGTAAGTCTCTGTGTGCCTTCTGGAATGGCAAGTCTGGGATAGGCTCCAGCTCCCCGTGTCCTCACTTGGAATAAGTGGTTATAGCTAATGGATTAACTCATATTCTCATCCAAAACTCAGAGCCTTCACATCTATGGGATGACAAGTTTGAACAAAATATTGTTTTTGTGTTGCGATCCTTTAAGCAATTCATTAACACAAACACAAACTGCACAAAACAACCACAAATTGAAAGTAATGTTAATCTCAGATCTTGACCTTTGGTTTCCTGGCAATTAGAGCACATCAAGTGTGGAAACAGGGTAGGTACTTTACAACAACGCTTTTCTGTGAGTTGCAGATGCTATAAATCAGGCCTAACAGTAGAGAGTTTCCATACACGGCTGAAGAACAAGTCACAGTCAAGTGGATTTAATTCTATTGCTGGTCCTCCAAACAACCTCTGCACAACAGACATTCCCATGTCTCCAACTAATTTGCAACTCCCGGAAATAAATGGGGTCTGCCTCTTCTCAGGAAGAGTGCACAGCTCTTTTATCTCACAGAACAGTTCTGCAGCCACGTGCCTGGAATAATGAGGAACTGGTGAGGAATGACAATCAACTATGGCTGTTTATGACTTGTTTTATTAAGAAATCAATCATGTAACCTACCGCCTGTTTAAGAACACCACTGACCAATCTGTAGGCCCAACATTCAGTTTTATTCAATCAGATAAATGCATGCACTGCACCACAATCCTATTTATCCATCTACGGTCTGGCCCATACAAGCTGACTTTGCAAGAGGCAGGGTGGCAATTCACAACGATCTTATTAATTTAATCAACTATACTATAGTGTTTGCACACGACCCTTCAGCGTGACACCCTTATATGGGCATTTGGGGGCATTTACCTAGACAAATTAGGGAAAGGTGATGCGTCTTTTCAGTTTAGTAGGAGCTTAACATCCATCCAAGTACAAAAATACCAACTATTTCACAGCCTCAGAGCATTTCCATGACACAAAGATGTCTAAATTCCTATGGAATAACATATGTCCAGTTTTCTGTTGGATTACCCAATCTTGGCCTGTAAAGAGGAGCTCCTGAACCACTCAGTGACTAAAAAGTGCCCTGTTCATAAGGGAGCAAAATAATGTCAATAGTCTTCCCTGTCCACGTTTGACAGTTGGTATAAAGTGTCACTGTTTATGTGCTAAATTTAGTTTTTGTCAAAAATGACTCTTCATAATATGGCCAGCGATCTTCACTTTGGCTTCATCTATACAAAGTAAAATTTTCAAGCACTTAGCAGCAAAAACATAGATTATCCTCCCACTGCACAAAATGGAAGGTTTTGAAACAGGTTCACAGTTCTCATAAGAATAGACAGACTCCTGGCTAGATTACAATCAGTGTAAGGTCAGTGTGGCAGCTGGTTGATGACCTGAGCAGAGAAATAATCTGTTCCGACAGCAGAAAAAGCTGACACAACATGTATTTCTAAGATTAAAGCAACTGGTACTTTGTCAAGACATTACTCGAACGTTCAGTGTGAAAGAGCCCTCTGTCATTGTCTGCATCAAAGGCTGCCTTGAACTCAAGACACACGCTAAAAAGACATTTTTATTGCGACACCTAATGACTTTTTTGAAGATGCAATGTACCACTTTAAATGACTTTTTGAAGGCTTCAAACATACAATGCGCATCAAGACGAAACGCAAAGTCTTTGATCACAGCTCCTTTATGCACCTCGAGATCACTGTCAGCTTGATAAGGGGGCTGCATTATATAAATAAGGACGAGAGACGGAGACACCATGGTCTGCCGTGTGAGCGCAGCTGTAGTCCTGCGACAAGATGAGGAAGAAAGAGAGAGAGAGAGGGGGTGGACAGGGGAAATAAGGCTGGACACAGATAGAGGATGGTTAGGAAGAGCGAGCAGAGGTTAGAGTGAGTCCTGCTCCTCCAGTCATCAGGGTTCTCATTACTCCTGAACACTCCCCGATGACTCTTTAGAGAGCTAAAATAAAATACTCTACTCCCCCCTTTCAACAAATCTCTTCTCTTTAGCACCCCAGCCCCCCTTCCCTCTCTCTCCCGCACTTTTCCTTCCATTTCTCCCTCCTCCAGATTGCTTTTGATTAAAGCTACAAAAGCCGAGGAGAAAACAGCTTTACACCAACGCAGCTATATTTATCCTGCCAAACACCCCAGCACCATCGGGGAGAGAGCAAAATGTGTGTGTGTACAGACGTATACATGTACACAACAAAGAAAGCAAAACACCGCCTCATGTGGGACATTATAGCTTTGGTCAACGCATACACCAATCTGTGAATTTCTGCAACCAGACCAACGACAGCTGCCAGACGGGCTCCGTAGCCACATGGGAAATTCAGGAGCCTCTTCCTCAACCAATGTAAAAATAAAATAATGATGGTGCAGGGATAAAATAAAACCCTATAGAAAATGTCTGACAGTCCTTTGCTCATTAGCACCTCAAAAATCCCACCATTTTCCCCTAAACTGGGCAAACGTGTATGCTAGCTGAAG